TGATCTTAGTTTTCTGAATGTTGAGTTTTAAGCCAGCTTTTTCATTCTCCTCTTTCACTTTCATCAAGAGGCTTTTTAGTTCCTCTTCACTTTCTGCCATAAGATTACTTATTATAAAAAATAATAGAAATCCATTTGTTTCTTCATAATCAAAGTAAAGGATTTTCTAAATACAAGATACTCACCCATAGGCAATGGAATTATCTCTTTTTGATGATAGTTTAAATTTATTTTTCTCTAAAGTAAAAAACAGTCAATTACAAAAATTAATACAGTAGAACTTAATTTGATGACAAAGGTCCACCTAATCAAAGCTATGATTTTTCCAGTAGTCATGTATGGATGTGAAAGTTGGACTACAAAGAAGGCTAAGCGCCAAAGAAATGATGCTTTCCAACTCTGCTGTTGGAGAAGACTCTTGAGAGGCCCTTGGAGAGCAACGAGATCTGACCAGTCAATCCCAAAGAAAATCAGTCCTGCATATTCATTGAAAGGACTGGTGCTGAAGCTGAAACTCCAATACTTTGGCCACCTGATGCAAAGAACTGACTCATTGGAAAAGACCTTGATGCTGGGCAAGATTGAAGGCAGGAGGAGAAGGGGACAACAGAGAATGAGATGGTTGCATGACATCACCAACTTGATGGACATGAGTTGGAGCAAGCTCCAGGAGTCAGTGGTGGACAGGGAAGCCTGGTGTGCTACAGTCCATGGGGTCTCAAAGGGTCAGACTTGACTGAGTGACTGAACTGAACTTAATTAGAAATATTTGTTGGCGATATAAGAGCACAATGAATGAAACAGCTGACAAGAATATCACAGTATATTTTTAGAACTATTTTTCTATCCCTTAAAAATATGCTGGTGATTGTTTCTTCTAAGATTTATATGCTTGGGCAGTTACAGGACCCAAGTAATCCATTCTGAAACACTGAGGTAATGCAAGAATCTTACTTTGAATTATCTAGCAGCTGTTAAAGGTAAATTCCTCAACCAGAAAGATAATGTTGTATTTTTCACTAATGCAACCTGTAGAACTCTTGAGAGTCCCTAGGACTGCAAAGAGATCAAATCCATCATCCTAAAGGAAATCAACCCTGAATATTCACTGGAAGGTCTGATACTGAGGCTGAAGCCCCAACACTTTGGCCACCTGACGCAATAAGTCAACTCATTAGAAAAGACCCCAATGCTGGGAAAGATTGAAGGCAAAAGGAGAAGGGGGCAGCCAAGGGTGAAGTGGTTAGGTAGCATCACCAACTCAACGAACATGAATCTGAGTAAACTCTGAGAGACAGTGGAGGACCGAGGAGCCTGGTATGCTGCAGTCCATGGGGTTGCAAAGAGCTGTACATGACTTAGAGAATAAACAAACAACAAAACAGCAAAAAAAAAAAAAGCAACCAGAGGGTCCAAGAAGTCACTGACAGTTAAAACTTAGTCCTTCTAAAATCTCTTAAGGGCAAACAGGCTTTGGAAAGCAGAAAGCAAACTCTTGTGATGCCAGGCCACAAGAGAGGCAGGGTGTTTGGAGGTACAAAGGGCTTCTGTCATGTCTCACACTACTCCGAATTACAAAAGCTGACTGTGTTCTTCTCCTGACATCTGCTAGTAACAAAGATATAATAGAAATGCCTACTATGAGAAAGTGAAATTTTCTCTGTCATGTCTGACTCTGCAACCCCATGGACTATACAGTCCATTGAATTCTCCCAGGCCAGAACACTGGAGTGGGTAGCCTTTCCCTTCTCCAGGGGATCTTCCCAACCCAGGGATCAAACCCCAGCCTCCCGCATTGCAGGCTGATTCTTTACCAGCTGAGCCACCAGGGAAGCCCACGGGGAAAGAATTTGCTAGAAAATTAGTTACTCATCTGCAGGAGTTTAAATTATCTGTCACTTGAGAGTGAAGCCATTTTATAAACCCATCAGCAAGTTCCCTTGTCAAGACTAAACTCTTAAGCTTCTTCTGAATTCCTGAGAGATAACTTTAAGACCATAGTCTCAATTTTTAAATGCTGCATGCTTAATAACATACAGAAGAGTAACTGTTTATACGTGTTTCACATTAGCAGTTCATAACTAATGTCTCCTGAGGGTTATTAATCAAAAATCATTCACTGAAGCTCAGTCATTTGTGAAAACATGTTCATATGCCTTCCTTTGCTGTCCATAGCGATGGTTGCTTGTATTCAATCCCTAGATGCTTCTCCAACTTCCTCTCCCTACATCAGTGGTCCCCAACCTCCGGGATCTAATGCCTAATGATCTGAGGTGGAGATGATATAGTAATAATAGAAATAAAGTGCACAATAAATGTAATGTGTTTGAATCATCCTGAAACCATCCCCCTGACCCAGTCCGTGGAAAAATTGTCTTTCAAGAAATTGGTCTCTGGTGCCAAAAAGGTTGGGGGCCACTGCCCAACGTCACTGCTGCCATCGGGACAAGGAAGAAGGAAGGTTCCATGCTGGGGAGAGTGGTGGAGAGTGTCAGAAATTCCCTGTCCACAAAAGGGCAGTCTAAACAATTCATTTATACATTTGTTTTTCAGCCGCTCAGTCATGTCCGACTTTTTACGACCCCATGGACTGCAGCACACCAGGCTTTCCTGTCCTTCACCATCTCCTAGAGTTAGCTCAAACTCATGTCCATTGAGTCTGTGATGCCATCCAACCATCTCATCCTCTGTCATCCCCTTATACATTTAGTGTTTGGAAATGCAAAACAACACTGTGCATGGTTTTGGTATCACTGAGAAAGTGAAAACAAAGTTGCTTCAAGCAGGGAATGATTTTCAGGTTAACTAACCAGATCCTTTCATCTTTGCTACTAAAAAACTCAAACTCAGTCCAGAGAGATTGATTTTTTCCCTGAGTAAAACAACTAATTTGTAGCAGAATTTAGACATACTCCAAGTTCCTAAACTCCAAGTCTCATACTATTTCTTCATTTCACTTTTGTTTCCTATGTAAATTCTGCTCTGAAGAAAGAAACAATTTTTAATATATATTTTATCTTAGTATTATGGTTGAATACTTTACATTTGCATTGAAAACAGTAGCAGTCTAAATCTTGTTAAATAAATAAAAAATCAAGAAATGCTATTACTTATGTTTACTGTTCATGTTGATGACAAAATAGGTTAATTAGAAGGTCTGCAGACTTCTACTTAGAAAACAGAGGAAGTGTGTTTCTCTGTATGTTTTTCAGAGGACTCATCTCCACTATCACATAGACTATCTCAAGCACTACCCCAGTGCTCTGTGGACAGAATTCACAATCCATTTGGGCTCTTTGTTTATGCCTTTAGTGTGACTATCACTACACTGGATCATTTGTCAGTCAGCTGCGTCAATGGGGTGGCTTTGCCCCTCTGGTTGCAAGTTCCTTGAGGTTACAACATAGCCTCTCATCATGATACATTCAAGCACCTCCATCATGGAGCTTCTTGCCCAACCATAGTGCTCCCATAATACTGATAGGGTTGAGTGGTATCATTTGACAAGTCACACTGAAAGAGGGTGGTTACACCATACCCAGAGAGACACCCTAGTTCTCTAGCAAGTTGAACACAAACCCACCTGCAATCAAACATCTAGAAATAATACATCATTAGTTAGCACATGCCATCCTATTAGCTTTGAGAATTAGAGTTTAGCATGCTTCTAGGGATTCAGAGAAATCAAACCCATATTGTTCTAGCCTAGCACAAAAAGTAGGAAATAATAGGAAAATCACTTTTAAAAAAAATATATCTGCAATACTACTTTTTGAAAAGAGAGATCGATGGGTAAATGGCTTTATCTGAAAGAACATTGAACAAAAAGTTGTTTTGATTGCCCTGATAAATAAATTACAAAGTCAGTATAAATCAATCATCTTCTAACTTCCCTAATCTCTATGAAATCAAGAAAATCTTTATGTATGGACACTCAAAAAAATCATTTGCCACCATTCATGAAAAGAATAAGAAATTGATTGTAACAATCACCTGAATCACTGTCTTTCTTAGTATTGATTCTATTTCACAGTGTTCTTTAAGATTCTAAAAACACATCATTTCTAACATTTTTGTTTCGCTATAAGACATTAAGAGATTCAGGTTTCCTCTCATCACCTTATCACCTCTCCGACCCACAAATTCTTAGCCTATCCTCCAGTGGGTGAGTGAGTCATTGTTCTGAAGATGAGCAGTTGCTATTCTCACCAAAACACAATAAAGACCTACCAAGTAGGTGCTAAATTTTTAATTATCCACTAACGGGTGATTGCACAAAGATCTTGGCAAGTGCGTCTCGGACTTTAGAGGACCTAAGAATCAGTCAGTGTACTCATTAAAAATACAAATTCCAAGCCCCTTTGTAATTTACCAGGTATGACATGTCCCTGGGGATGGACATTTTAAAATAAGGACAACAGGTGATTCCTGATATAGCACTCGTGGACCACACTTTGAGAAACAGTGAAGCTGACTTGGGAAGCTGAAAATACTTCTAATCACCAGCCTACTGAACACCTCTGTAATAGACCCAATGTGAAAATACCTATAAGAAGGACAATGAATCCAAAGGTTTAGGTGAAAGCCTCCAGCCTTGGAATGTGAAATATCCTTAATGAAGGGAAGATAGCTGGAGAAGCAGCAGTAACTGAGACTTGTCCTGGGCCCTTCTCCTCAGCCCCTTTCACACCCACACCTAGAGACTGCTGTTACCTTACTCCCACTTCTCTGACATCTACCACCTTAACATACAATCTGGACATACACTGAAAACTGTGAATACATTTAAGCTTGCCGGTGCGGGGAGAACAGACTGAAGTACTAGGAAAGTTGAAAGCATTATAGCCAAGAGGTCTGGATAAAGAATGACTTGAAAATAAGAAGAGAGGATGAAGTCAGAGAGAAAAGCCTGAGCCTGGAGTGAGGGCAGTATCCAGATCAAGTCAGTGACAGAGGGGACGGGGAGGGAGGCTGGGAAGGTCTGGCTCCCCTCTGTCAGTTGGACATTCCATTCAACTGCCCGTGGTGGGCATTCCAGTCCACTGACCATGCCTAGTTTGTGTGACTGACTTTCACCAGGTAGAACAATCAACAAGGTCACCATAAAATTTTGACCAACACCAGGCCAGTAAAGTGACCACTGAAAACAATTTCCACATTTGTGATCAATGGACCCACGTTTAAGGAGAAGAATTCCTTTGGTCTACCAAAATGGTTTGAGTTTCAGTCTCTAATTTCTTCCTTCTCAGATACTCTGATCTCCACCCAAAGGACACTATTTGGTGAGATGAAGCCAGTTTGTTGGTCAGCAGGAGCTCAGAAGCAAGAAAATGTCCCAGTGGTAGAAGACAGCACCATCTTCCTCAGCAGCAGCCCATCGCTGGAAGTTTCCAGAGCGCTGTGCCAATCGAGTGGCAGAGGGACTTTCATTTAGAGACACTAATGTGAGCCTTATGTGAGAAAATCGCAAACCTGTTTCTTGGATTTGTTAGCCTTACTGTTTCTGATACTTAGGTGCTGTCTCTTAGAGACCCTGAAACAGCCAAGACATGGCTGAGGACTTGGAGGAATCTGCAGGTGAGCATCCCTGGACCCTGAATGAGTTAGACCTTTTGTGTCTGTGTGACCATATACATATGTGAAGTGGGCAAGACTAGCATGATTGAGGGAGATCTGTAGACCTGAGAGGTTTTATGAAAAGTTATATTAAAGTAAGATTGTTTCTCTCTACTTTCCCTTTATTCCAAAATGATAAATATCACAAGATTATAAATTATAATTATAAAAGACCAATGATGGATTGGGAGCCTGAGAGATGATTGTGTCTTACCTCTTCAAAAATGTATATAGTCTATTTGAAGAGACAGTGGCTACAACACAAAGGCAGTCTCTTGTTTAATCTCCAATGCTGGCAGAGTCCTTTGGAAATATTCTGCTTTGCCAAAAATGACTGTATGAAAGGGTTATGTTGTTTGATTTGGAGGCTTGTGGAAAATCATTACATCCAAAAATATCCCTCCTACCAACTTGCCGTGTGGTGTGAAATTTCTCAGTTCCCTTGACTCAAATATGTCTTTCAGTTTTCCAATGTGCTTTATTCAAATAATTCCTGAAATGTGCAAGTCAAAAATATTTGGATCATTTTATGAAAAGAGCAAGGTTGCATGAACATGGTACTAGATGAGCTGGCAGGCCCAGAAGGGAAGTCAGAGAGAAAAAGGATGTGAATAAATAAGATGGAGGGGAGCATGGAGGAAGGAGGGAGAAAATAGCCAGCTCTACTACACTCCTGTCTTCCCCTAATCAAGTCAGGCATAAGAGGCTCAGTTCATGGAATCTGAGAGCTGAGCCTTGCTAAGGAGGATATAGAGCGGTACCTACATGACTGGAAGGGTTAACTGAGACATAGCATCTTGTGTCTTCCCCTCCATGTTTAATTTAGGTTTTGAAGAAAAAATACTAAGCATCTTCTATTGTAAAGTGTGTCAAGTATATGAAATATAAATCACACTGTTCCTGCCATCAAAGAGCTGGCAGTCAAGAGGGAAGAGGAGAAAAGTAGGAGGAAGGGAGAGAGGGAGAGAGAAAAGGAGAAAGAGAAGGGAAGAAGAGAGAGGAGAGAGACAGAGAAGAGAAAGAGGAGAGAGAAGTGAATACTGCAAAGTAATTAACAGGAGGGCATTTCAGCATGTTTTTTTTTAATGTTTACAATGTTGTATTGGTTTCTGCCATATTTAATTCTTTTCCCATCCATTTTAGGGATTTTGGGTGATATTAACCTCACTCTTGGCATGCTGAACAAGGAAGATAATATTAGCAAGGTAAGGAAAACAGAGAAAAATCTCTTCCCCATTCACTTTTTGTAGTCCAGTTATTGCAACATTTCATCTGCATCCTTCTTTGCCTCAACTTCCTCTTTTCTTTCTGGCTTCTTGAGTGGTATTCAGTTTTTCAGAAAATGCACTTTTCATGGAAGTCATTTTAATGTTTCCACCATAGCACCTGGCATTTGAGGATTCAGAGTATCCTGTTGTAGAAGCTGGCAAAAGAATGCCCCCTTCCATAACCTCATGCAGATAGATGTGGAAAGAGGGGTATGTCAGGCACAACCACATGGGTTAGAGCCTACTCCTGTGCACTTTGAGAGTTGGCAGACATTTTTTGGTGCGGACCGAATGTTTTATGAATGTTTTGGTGTGGACCAAATGTTTTGTGAATGTTTTGGACAGGACCAAATGACCTGCTAGGAATTTGAGGGCTCCTATGAGAAAATTCCCCAAGATCCAACCAGTCAATCCTAAAGGAAACCAACCCTGAGTATTCACTGGAAGGAATGAGGCTGAAGCTGAGGCTCCAACACTTTGGCCACCTGCTGGGAAGAACTGACTCAATGGAAAAGATCCTGATGTTGGGGAAGGAGAAGGGGGTGACAGAGGATGATGTGGTGTGTCCATCATGGACTCAATGGACATGAGCTTGAGCAAACTCCAGGAGACAGTGAAGGACAGGTCTGCTGCAGTCCATGGGGTCACATAGAGTAGGACACCCCTTACGGACAGAACAACGAACAACAACGACTCATCTGTAGTGCTGTTTCACAAAGAGAGATGTATTTCTCTGAGATTTGAAGGTTTTTCTGGCTTCAATAACCTTTCGTAAAATCACACTGCTATCCTTCATAGAACACTTATCTAGGGCACTTGATTCTTTCCAAACAATAATGCATTGTATTATGCTCACTCCTCACAACTTTGTAACATAGGTATTGTTATTTCCATTTGACAGCTAAGAAAAGCGAGACCCAGAGAAGTAACATGCTTGAGAACAGTAGACAAGCCCATTTGACTCCAAAATAAAGCTCCTAATCATTATTCAATGTAACCTCCCTGTGAAGGGCAGTACCTACACCTTTATCTCTTAATCCAGTGCTTCTCAACCCTGACTCCATATTAGAATCCTGTCCGAAAAGTGAGTTATCTCACACCTTAAACACAGGCATGGTACCTCAAGGTACCATGCCTGAGGCTCTTGGAGATTTCAGAAGACCTGTCTCTCATCTTCCAAAGGCCTTGTGGCCATCTGAGAGATTGAGAAGAGCCCTCACACACAACATCTGCTCAAGCCATGTAGCTCCCAGAGGCTGCAGCTCTGTGGAAAGGAGTTCACAACTTCTTCTCCACAAAGGCATAGATGAAGTAAGGGCTTACAAATCCCCTTTAGGAACAAGTTGCATAACTTTGCAGCCTCTTTGGGAATCACATCATATTCCTTAGTGCTATAGGTGCTCTTTAGTAGTAAAAGCAACAATTAGGGTGATGGGCATTTCCATTGCCCTGAGGGCCCTACAATAGAGAATTTCAAGAGACTTTAGTCTGTTGGGTAGCCCATTTCTATCTTCAGTTAGATATTGCCTTAGAAATATAGTCATATTAAAACATGTTTTAGAATGAACTTTGCTTTACCTATAAGCCTTTGATTCCTAATGATGCATACTATGTTAAGTGCATATGCTCTCAGTCATGTTCACTTCTTTGCTACACCATGGACTATAGCCTGCCAGCCTCCTCTGTCCTTGGAATTTTCCAAGCAAGAATACTGGAATAGGTTGCCATTTCCTACTCCAGGGAATTTTCTGGCCCCAGAGACCGAACCCACGTCTCTTGGGTCTCCCGCATTGGCAGGCAGATTCTTTACCACTGTGCCATCTGGGAAGCCCATATTATTTTAAGGAAGCCTCAATTATGATATATAAAATTTCATAGGGATACATTGCTTAGTTTAATGGCATTATTCATCTGGACATTATCTGACTCTTTTAGTTTTGCAACTCAAATTTCTGTGTATAACTTTGTATGTTCACAGGAAGACATTTATGGTCATCTCACTTCCGTTATTCAGAATACTGACATCTTGGATGATGCAATTGTCCAAAGGTTGATTTATTATGCTTCTAAGGACATGAGAGATGACAATGTAAGTTTGATCCTTAATGATGCATCAGTGTCAGGGCCAGTAACAGGTCTTTATGTGACGCAACTGCACCCAGGTAAACATCCATAAACTTTTTTTTACATCACTACAAGGACCATAGATCACTTCTATCTGTTTTTCATGGTAACTTGGATATTATTTACCCCATCACAGATGAGGAAACCGAGGTAGAGCTTCAAAAAGTTTTAGAAATAATATCCCATCCACTTTTAGATGAGGAAGTTGGTGCTTAGAGAGATTGTTTGCGAAGTAACACAGCTATCTATCAAGAGAATGAATAAATTAAAACCCAAATTTCTTGGTTCCCATGTGAATTCCTATCTCTTCATATGCCTAACTGCCATGTATACTAGGCATTGTATCTGAAAAATTATTTGTAGAAATAGTTTGAGTCTTACATTATTTTGTTCCAGAAAGGATTTTTACTTGTTTACCTGCCAAGGCACAAGCAATCTAATTTCAGGGCTTGGGATTTTTCTGGGCAACTTCCATGACTCAGGGTTGGACTATAGTCCGTGGAGAGCCAATTTAAACTTCCATATCAATGCAGTCCTTTGGGGTCTTAACCTGAAAGGTAAAAGATAGCATGACCATGGTCTCACCATTGGTTGGCCCTGGATTCTGACTATTGTCCAAAAAAACTGCAAAGCAGCCCCAGAGGCAGGGTTTATATCTCTGGATATCCATTCTTGTCCAGATTTCAATTCAGTAATTCATTCCACCTCATATTGTGATTGTCTTTGATGTTTCTATGAGTATATTTGTTAATATCTTTCCCAGCATTTTTTCTTTTCCTCAGCAGGGAAAGTGGATCAAATTGACTTCATTCACCATTATCAAAAGCAAAGCCTCCTCCAAATATCTCAAACATTAAGGATAATTAGATCAGGACAATATTAAAACTCAAAGCTTGGACTCCCAGCCCATTTTTCTTTCTCCATTCCCTTCAGTAATTCATATCACTTAAACATAAATCTTAAGTTCATGGTACCTGATTAATTAGCTAGAAAATTTCTATGCATGGCTTCGAGCTTACAAGAACTCTATGAAAACCTGGTTTTGAGGTGCTTTTGAATTACCTCTGCTTCCCAGCTGCGGACATCTACCCTAGAGTCTTCCACACAGGGTTTGTAACAGCTTGTTCTCCCTAGATTGAAAAGGTAGAAAACTTATAAATATTATGTCAACTATTTCCCCTCTGCTGGTTCTTTCTGGTTGTTATTTTTATTTCCCTTTTCTTCTTCAGATCCTCAGAGAAATCAGAATGCTAGCTGGGGAGGTGTTGGTGTCTCTTGCCGCACATGACTTCAACTCTGTGATGTATGAAGTACAAAGTAACTTCAGGATTCTGGAGCTACCAAACGAGTTTGTTGTGCTTGCCCTGGCTGAACTGGCAACCAGCTATGGTATGGAGGGAATAGCCTCCACATTTTCCCTGGGAAACCATCATTTTAATTGTCTAAACCCAAATGGGAGCGAACAGCAGAGGGGGAGGGTCTCTTATACTTCCTTCTGTACTAAAGAAATACTGACAGCGACATCTGGGCTACTGTTTGTGAGCTTAGATGGACCTACTCGCCAGTCATGGTCCACGCTGCTCTGAATTTGGCTGGACTCTTTCTCCCACCCTCACTTTTCCTTTCATCTGGCTTTGTGTTTGCAGAAGCACATTTTCCACAAGCCATATTCTGCCAACCACTCAACTCTGACATGAAGTAAGGGTTTCCTAGGATGCTTTTTTCTAAACTACTTTATTTAACAGATATTTATTGAGCATCTATCACCTGTGCTAGGCCATGGGGATACAGGCAAGTTCTGGTGGGAGGGATGAACATTAATGAAATAATCATTCAAGTAAGTAATTGCTACGGACCAACAGGTACAGACAACTGATAGAAAGCACCTTATTTTAAGGTGCTCTAACTATAGTAAGTCCCCCAGATATGATTGAGTTCCATTTCAAGAGCGTGTTGATAAGTCCAGTTTGTTCGTTCAGTCCAACAAAGTTAGCCTAACATGGTTGGCTGTATAGTATCGTACTGGAATAGGTTTATAATAATTTTCATGCAAATAATGCATAAAAGATGAACACAAGATATGAAGAAAATATTTTAATCTTACTGTACAATATGTTGAAAAGTACAGTAATCACAAGCTACATCACCACAGCCTTTGTGCTTGCTTCCAGACATGATGGGCTTGGAATAAAAATACTGTACTACTGTATGGTCTACAGTCCTGGACGGTAAAGAACATATCTACTTGTAGAGGATGCATGCACATGACATTGTATACCAGACACGTGAACTAAAGTATTAGGCTGGACATGCAATTGCACATTCTCATCTTTGAAAGTTTGCAACTTGAAGATTCATATGTAGGAGACTTGCTGCACAGCCTGGTACTGGGGAGTGGGCATGGGGTAGAAAGTCTTCCCACCACACCTCATCTGCCTTGAAATGCTTGTTGACTGATGATGGTTTGGGAAGCTGTGACAGAACGTCCTCTTGTACCCTTCCTGCAGTGTCCCAGAGCATTCCCTTCATGATGATGACCCTGCTCACCATGCAAACCATGCTCAGGCTGACTGAGGAGGAGAGGATGAAAGGAGCTTTCTGCATTGGTGGGTATCCCTGTGGTTTCCCCTTTGTTAAGACCAGACTATAAGTGGAGCAAATGTCTTATTTTTCCTTTTACTCTTGTCCTTTCTAGTAATAGTATCTACCATTTACTGAGGGCCTTCCACATGAAAGGCCTTCTGCCGGGAGGCCTTACCCCTGTCAATCCTCACTGCAATTCTGCAAAGTACTATTAGCCCATTTTACAGATGAGAAACTGAGGGTCAAAGGAGTTAAGCAATTTTCTCTTAAAGTCATGATAGTCAGTGTGATGGAGAGGTGGCATTCAGATCTGTATGACCACCCAGTCCATATTCTTTCCACTGTCCTACTAGTCAGTTTCTACTAGTCTCCTTTTTTGACTGGACCACACTTTCTCTAGTGTTTATGAGATCTTACTAGCTCTTAGCCATAGGCTAAATTTTGGTATCTCTTTGTAATGCTATATTGTGAAAATGATAAGTAAACAATCTAATAAAAATACAAGCAATCATAAAATCAGGGAAAATGGGCAAACAAACTATGGTCACAAGTCCCTTCTACCCCAAAACTGAAAGACATCTATAGTAACCAACAGTCTGCAGAGAATGACATACCCTTTAGTTCCTGGAAAAAGCATTCTTTGTACAACAAGAGGCTTCTTGGATGAGTCTGAAGACCTGGACTCTCTCCTCTGATCAGTCACTGAGCCATCAGATGATTCTATCCTTCTCTCAACCTCAATTTCACCTCTAAAAACAACAAATGAAGTGACTGCTGAGACTGACTTCTTTCCACCACTGACATCTCTGTGACTATTATTTTATAGTATTTTAAGTCCCATGCTGTCAGAAATGTCTTCTTTACTTATCATCCAAGTCTTCTCTGTTCTATTTTGCCCATTTCTTCTTGTCTGTCCTCAATGAAGGTAAGATTTGCACCTGATAAATATTGAGAATTTACTATCTACCTGGGTACTGCCGTGGGTATTTTTAGATTATTGTTTCATTTAACCCTCACAGTTACTGCATTGAGTGGATAACAATTTCAGTTCATTTTACAGATGAGAAATTGAGGCTTAGAAAGGTTAAACAGCTTTCCTGCAATCATATAGCCAATACTTGGCAGAGAAAAGATGTGAAGTATGACTCTAACTCAAGGAGTCAAACTACTATACTAGATTAGCAGTTTTCAATATTTTTTTTATTTTCCTTACTTACCATCACAGTTAACATTGTATTCCAACAAAACAACATTTGGTGCCTCTAAGTGCATTTCTACCTCCAGTATTAATAACCAAGAGAGTAAAAGAAAATAAAATCAGAAATCACAATGCAATGAATAAGGGAATTCTTATCTGTGTATTATAAAGTTATCTAAGTGCTCTTTGGTCCTAAAGCAGTCTTGCCTGACTGCCAGTTAAGGTTACATGTCTATACTATAAAGAAAATGTACACAATTTAATAGCCATCCATCTAGCTGTGCAATCAATCAGCAAAGAAACAGATGTTGTGTTTGTTGTTTCAGAAACAAACAAGGTATGTATACACACACTCACAAAATAGATCTGACAAAATGTAACATGAGATTATATGAGAGAGTCTGGAGGGGGAGGAATAAACCAATAAATGACCAGTTCTAAAGTTAAGATACTCGGCATCTTTTCCATAGTATTGTATGACATATCCTTGAGAGAGTAAACTATAATTTTTTACTATCTAATACAAGGGATAGCATGAGGAGCTGAAGGAAAAAACAATTATTTAATGACGATGCAAATATATATGATATTTTGCAGGCTCAAGATTTTTTAATTTTATTAAAGTAAAACATACATGGAGAAAAACATAATTACCATAATATGAGTGCTGAATAGTCACAAAGTCAGTCATCCATTTGACCACCACTCAGGTTAAAACTTTGGACATTATTAACTCCCTAGAGGCCCCCTTCATCTTTTTTCCCAATCATCACCCTCTCCATCCTTTTTAAGAGTAACCACAATTATGGATTCTAACACCACAGGCTAACTTTGCCTATTTGTGAGATTCATGCATGTTGTTTTGTATCCATGGAGTCCATTTTCATCTCTGTTTACAGTTACATGTCTATATGATAGTTTTTCCATCCTACCTGTGGACAAATAATTTGGATTGTTTTTTGTTTGAAGCTGTTATCAAAAAGTGAATAGAAACATTCTTGTACAAGGTTTTTAGTGCCTATATGTATACATATCCAAGGGCTGTACACCTCAGAGCAGAATTTCTGAGCCCTAGATAAAGCATATTCAACTTTGGTTGATAATGTCAAACCATTCTCTAAAGTGTTTGTAGCGGTTCATACTCTCACTAGCAAAATGTCAAAATACCAGCTGTACCTTTGTCTTGTCAGTACTTGACACTGACTGTCTGAAATGTTAGCAATTCTGGATGGTATGTTGCCGTGTCTCATTATGGTTTTAATTTACATTTCACTAAAGTGGCTGGAGTACTTTTTTATATATTCACTTGGTGCTGTCATAGATTTTCTAGAAATTAATACACATTTGTTAATCATCAGTACACTTTTCTCAGTTATATTATGGCCCATCCCATCTTGATTTTTTTCTCAGTCTGTGGTTGTTTTTAAAATGCAGCCCTAGAGAAGTTCAGCAGAGCCATTTACAAGTATGTCAACCACTGGAGAGATTTCCCCTATCCCAGATTGGATGCCAACCGCCTCTCTGACAAGATCTTCATGCTGTTCCGGTATATCATGGACAAATGGGCCTCCACGACCTCGCCCACGCAAGTGAGTGGGGCTCAGTGTGACTTGAGTTAGCTCTCCTCCCATCCCAATTGAACTTCCTCTTCTCTTTTTAACATGATAATTCATCTTAGTTCTTTTGGAAGGTGATGGGTTGTATTTTATCTGGTTTATTAAGTCTTTTATTTTTCCTGTTTCAAATCACTATTTACTCATTTATTTCAACTAATATTTATTGAGTCCCCATGACATGCCAGTTATCATTCCACATATTGGAGATACAGCAGAGATTAAACAGACCCAAATCCTCACTCTCATGGAACTGACATGCCAAGTTGTGGAGAGAACAATAAATAACTAAAATGAGCAAAATACATGGAATGTTAGCTATATCATAACCCATATTTGGACTGAGTCACTGATTAGGAAAAACACCAGTCCACAGAAACTTGCTGTGTCTATGACTATCACAATGAGTTAAAATGACATCTAAAGAATGAGCGTGACCATTTCATAATAGTGTAATACCTTATAAAGAATAGATTACAAAGGGCATTCATATATATAATCCCATCCTAATCTTGTTTAATAGCTATAATTTTTAAGTAAACTAAATTATATTTTATTTCAATCTCTTTATTGCTATATTATAAAAGATTTAACATTTAGCTACCTTCTCCAGTTTCTTTTTTATATTTTGAGCTATTATTTTTTCTAACAGGCTGGGATGGTGAAATCATTAGCAAACATGAAATTTTTAAAATACTCTGTAGACGTCTTTTCTGGAAGCCACTTGAGAAGCAAAATGCAATTCAAATTTGCTCACTACAAGAGTTAGGCAAGTAATAAGAAGGTGCAGAAAGTAATAGGAGAGCAAGCACTTAACACCCGATGCGCACTAGAAAGGCCATGACATGAACTGAGCCTGCAGCCTATGAAGTCATTTACTGCTGGGAGATGCAGTCGCTAAAGAGGGGATAAACTCACTGAAGCATAGGTTGGAGATGGGATAACGTGGTACTTGAGTGCGTTAAGTGGGCGGAGGGGAAGCAGGGTGAGGAAAGTGAATATAAAGAGGCAGAAAGAAAAGAAACCCAAATGGTGATCTTGGCCAACAGAATAAAGAGCCTTGAATTCTACACAGGATGTTTTTAAAGACATAAGAAAACTTGGAAGGACTTTAGAAGAATGAGATCTTAGAAACTAAGGAGTGATTTTCAAGAAGCAAAGACAGATCTACAGAGGCCATTGTTATGGTGTTCGAATAAGGAAAATCTTGAAACATGTCCACTGCATGGAAATGTGGTAGAACCACCTCCCAGCTGACACACAGTCTTAAGTGAAATAAATGGTTATTGTTATTAACCACTAAACTTATTAAAATTTATTTTTTAATTGGAGTATAATTGCTTTACAATGTTGTGTTAGTTTCTGCTGTATAACAACATGAATCAGACATATGTGTGCATATACCCCCTCTCTCTGGAGCCTCTCTCCCATCCGATCCCACCCCTCTAGGTCATCCCAGAGCACTGAGCTGAACTCCCTGGGCTATGCAGCAGCTTCTCAAAAGATATCTGTTTTATGCAAGGCTGTGTCTATATATCTACGCTAGTCTCTCAGTCCATCCAATTCTCTCCTTCCCCCATTGCGCCCACAACTCTGTTCTTAATGTCTGCATCTCTATTCCTGTCCTGCAAATAGGTCCGTCGGCACCATTTTTCTAGATTCCAAGTATATGTGTTAATATACAATATGATTGTATTGTGTATTACAATATACAATATGCAAAGAGTTTTCCTCTTTCTGACTTACTTCACTCTGCATGACAGTCTCTAGGTTCATCCACATCACTACAAATGGCACAATTTTGTTCCTTTCTGTGACTGTCCCTAACTTGTGAGATGTTTTGCTCTACAGAAAAAATTAGCTAACAGAGAAAAAATTATATAATATTAGGTAGAGAAAATATTAGGTAGAGAATATAGAGCTATAGTTTAAAGAATGATGTCAATTTTTAAGAAATTAAAATACATAGAGAAAAAGAGAGAAAGGAAAAGGTCAAGTAAAGAAATAACTTATTAAAAACATACCAAATAGTGCCTATTCATGAGTACTGTGGGTGCTGTGTTCTCTGTTTTATCCTAATTTTTGTGATTTCTAAATTTTTATCATCAATATATATTGTATTGATATTTTGTGCGGGTTCACTTTTCATGTCATGTGGAAGCCAGAGTATTGTGAACTGAGAAATAAATGGAAGGTAGGGAGTGGAGATAGTAAAGGCAGACCACTCCTTCAATAAATTTTGATCTGCAAGCAAGAAAAGAGAGAATTGAGTGAGGATAACAGTGGGGTTGAAGTGATATGGAATCCAAGAATTTTTCATGTAAGGGAGATTTTTAATTTATTAATATATTCTCATTAGTTGTATAGCACAGGGAGCTCTACTTAATTCACTGTGGTGACTTGAACAGGAAGGAAGTCCAAAAGAAAGGAGATATACATATGGTTGATTCATCTTGCTGTACAGCAGAAACTAACACAATATTTTAGAGGAACTATACCCCAATAAAAATTCATTGAAAAAGAAAATATCCACTTTGTTGTAAAGTAAACTTATAAGTAAATTTTCTAGATTATTGACATTTTAAGCACCATGATGTTTAATAATATTATTCAGAATAATAATATTATTCAGAATAATAATAATATTCAGAGGAATACTGAAGAAAATTAAATGCTTTTCATGAAAAAAAAATTTTAATTAAAAAAAAATTTAGTCTGTAGGAACTTGAACAGAATTTGTATCCTACTATTGTGTGAAAATTATTTAAACCTTAATTATGTTGATTGGCTCGTGGTGCTTTTCAGATCTACTGTATCCTTCTACTTTTCTGTATGTTCTATTAATTTTTGAGAGTTTAATATTGAAACTCCAATTAAAAATCTTAAATTATTTACTTAAAAAAATAATTGTAATATATAGTGGAGCTACATGTAACATTGTTCTGTATTTTCTGAGTCTCCTGTAACTGTGCTATTACCATACTTTCATGGTTTAAAAAATAAAGAAAGAGAAAAAATTTTTAATAAATTTGTTGATATAGTAAAATAAACTGACCATTAGAAAGAGATTAAAGAAATAGAAGAGGGGGCAAACATTGAAATGAGCATAGATATGGATATGGATGTAGATACAAATACAAATATAATTCTTCATCATACAATGAATACAGTGATCTTAGCCTAGATATTTTTTGAAAAAACCTTGTTTGGTTGAAAGCAGTGAGGAAAGGTTTTTGGAGGTATCTAAAGCTCTTCCTGGTATACTGAGAAATGTACAAAAAGCATAATGAAATATTTTATTATGTACTTATGTAAAGTATAATAGTTATTATATATCTTATATTATTAATATCTAATTATTTGCTGGGGCACTGAACAAGGTGAAGCAGCCAGAATCACTAAAGAAAACGGGTAACCACTGGAAGGATAGTGGTATGTTCTCCTCACAACACACCATCATTTGCCTTCCACACCCTGTGCTGCCCCCCTGCAGGCAAGCTCCAACTAACCTTAGAGAGCTTTTGTTCCAGAGTCTAAAGCAGATCCTGACCGCAGCAGTCCTTTACAATGTCAGCCTTCCGAAGGCCTTGAAGAAGGCTATCTTCATCGGTTTACTCCACCAGGTAAGAAGACCATTCTGTTAAATCTGTTTCCTTTTTACTAGTTTTCTGGGTTTCACGTCTACCCCCTTAATTTTTTTTTTCTTCTCATTCAGGTGTGCAGAGTTCCAGAGCCTCCAGAAAAAGAAAACGAAATCGAAGCGTCAAACTGTTTCCTCATTCTAGGTAGGACTCAGCATCCAGTGGGCTTTTAATTAAAATGTCTCTGAGTGTTGATGACAACAAGGATGAAGTGTAAGCAAGCTGCCACATTCATCACTTTCACACATGCACACAAAACGTTCTTTTGACTCACACTATTCTGTGTTTTTTCATACCCTACCTGTTCCGAGGAGTGCAGTAGGTGGGGTGATCGATTATCCTGATCTGCCCAGGACTGAAGGAATTCCAGGAAATTAGAACTTTCAGTTTTAGAACCAGAAAAGTCCCAGACATATTTTGGCTATTAACTCCTTACTGGATATGTGGCTGGCAAATATATTTTTCCCCATTTCATAGGTTGCCTTTTCATTTTGTTGATGGTTTCCTTTTCTGAGCAGAAGCTTTTTCATTTGATGGAATCCCACTTGTTTATTTTTGCTTATGTTACCTCTGCTTTTAGAGTCAAATGCAAAAAGTCATTGCCGAGACCAGTGTCAAGAAGCTTAGTCTCTATATTTTCTTCTAGAAGTTTTACAGTTTCAGGTCTTATGTTCAAGTTTTAAATTTATTTTGATTTAATTTGTGTGCATTTGTGTTTTTTGAGGTGACAATCAGATTTCTTTCTTTTGTATATGATTGTTCAGTTCTCCCAGCACCATTCACTGAAGAGAATACTCTTTCTGCATTGTATATATTCCCAGGTCTTTTGTTGAAAATTAATTGACCATATATACTTGGGTTTATTTCCAAGCAAACCAGTGTAAGTTGGTAACCCTAAGGCTAGAAAATACATTTTTTCTTGGTATTTGTGATTATTAGAAACTCTATCAAACTAATGTTACCCTTTTTTTCTTCCCTGTCAACTCTTGGTATTTATCACTTATCATTTTCTCCAGCCTTCACTCTCTCTTTTCTTTTTGCTTTCACATCACAGTCCTGCCCATCACTGTGTTAGAATCTACAGCCTGACACAAGTTGCAGAGGAAACACCAAGGTCCCAGGGTCAGGATACAAAACTGTGTTCTAATATAGTTTCTCAGGGCAAGGGACAAGAACAATCCTACACCTCACACCTGCACCCTCTCCAAAATATGTCATCTCCACTACCTCACTGCACACCTTTCTAGTATGGTCTAGTTCTCTCCTAATCAGTCCCTCTGTCTCTATACTTTCCAGTTCTCTATATGCCAGCCTAATTAACTACTTCACTTTATCATTTCCAGCCCAAACCTCTCCACTCTACTCAGACTTTTCTTCAGTTTTCCGTGCTTCCTCCCTACCCCCACCAGCTGGTGAAGTGTCACTTTGATCTCTGCCTCCCTGTTCACAAGGCTTCCTTCTGTGTCTGTCTGTGTCTTCAATCCATCTCTTATAAAGACACCAGCTATATAGAATTAATACAACTTCATCTTAATTTGATTTCATCTACAAAGAACCTAATAAGGTTACATTCGCAGGTATGAACAGAAGTGGGCCTAACTCTCTTAGGGACCAAACTGTTAAATTCTATATACTAAAGAAGTATGGGCCTAATAAAATCTTATTACCAACCAAAGGGTGACTTTGACAATTCTCATAGAATGATCATCTTACCATTCATAAGAATTTTACCTAAGGTGAAAATGAGTTCTTTTGACTCCAGTATTTCTTGAACCTGCAGCCCATTCAAGCCCTGCAGACCTGGTGGATTTTTTTGATGAACAAATGAGAAATAATAATGAAGCCATTCGAACAGGAATCTTGACTTTGTTAAGATCGGCTATCAGTGCTGAGGGTAAGAATAGGGATGACCCCAGAGTTGTTTCTTTTGTATTAAGAAGCAGATTGAAACCTGTGCATTGTCTAATTCTATCCTGTGTCTTTGGGAAGTTTACAGAACATCATATTCAAGTAAAGCTAGGTTTTCTTAGTTGTCTATAATCAATCTACTACTTTTAAATAGGCATTTCCAGTTACCTCTGTTCTTTCATGATATTTATGGATGCAGCCAGTAAAGGAATAAAATATTTGAGAATTGAACCTGGAATTGAAAAGAGATACTGGTTAAGTGGTCCAATAAACTGAGAGTGGATGTAAGGAATGCACAATGTTCTAAAAATTTGTTCTTTTAGAAAAGAGAACTTAATGAATTTTCATATTTTATTAATTCCAAAAACTGTTTATTTTTGCAATTTCAGAATGCATCTTATAATTGATAGCATTTTTAATTATCATTAGCCACTATAGTTTTTCACTCTTGGTGCAATATGAACTAACGATGCCTCATAAAATTGATACCTTAGATTCAATAAAATATGATCATTCATTTTTGTACAACAAAATAATAGTTTTTTAAAAAAATTCAGTTTGCCCTGTGATTTACTGAAGAACTGACAGGAGAAACCTGAGGTGGTCTCCAAAATTTAAGGCTGATCCATTAGGTATGATGTATTGACTGCACTTAAGAATCTAACAATTTAAACAAGATTAAACAAAGTATAACAGAGAACCAAAAAAGCAGTCAACATCTACAAAGAGTTGAAAAAGGAGAAGGTAGTGAAAAGGGAAGTGAATAACGTAAAATGTTAAGGACAAGAGACTTTGCAATTACGTGCCATAACTCTAATTGGTTTTCAAAAATTCCAGAACATACTGTACTCCTACTGAAGCAGGCTTCTCAATTTCTCCCTCTGTCTTTCAGAGCCCAAGTTGAGGGATCATATCACTTCAATTGAAAAAGCAGTCAAAGTCGTCATGGGTGACCTCAGTATTAAAGTAAGAGAATTAATGTGGACTTTTATTTGGATAATGATAGATTTAGGAGTAAATGAAATGGTTTTGACTCTTAAGGATGTGCTTATGAGACTGATTTATAAAGAGCTCAGTGATCAATTCTACTTTTAAAAGAACTCCATCTTTCCCTAATAAGATAAACTCTATCAAAGTAAAGTTCTGGAGCACATTCAGTTTAAGGGCTTCTCAGTAGGAAAAGAAAAAAAAAAAAGATTTTGGCCTAGAGCATGATTCTGCTATGCTAGTTAAATAGTTTAAAAATTAATTGTTAATTATAAAGATGATACTCCTTCCTCCAAAAATAATAACCCCTGAACCCTATTTTGAGCAGAGATATCCTATTTTCCAGTCAGGGAGCATCTATATAAAGTCTTACACGCACAAGAGATTTCTCAATAACCCCTGATTATCTGATTAAAGTATTCCATGTTGGAAAAGACAGTACTTTTATGGGAGAAATTTTTAAAATTAGCAATTATAGTATTATTTTGTATGAAAATCATATTTTATTTGGATCAAAGCCCTATGCAGAAGCCAATGAAGAGGAGAAAATTCCTCCAAGAGGCTTTGGTCACCAATAACTATGGTTAAAATAATCAAAACTATGCAATAAATAATAATGGAGTGATTATATATAAAAACCTGACCCAGTAATTGAGCAAGCCAATTGAAGCATTGCTAGGATTTAGGGTAGAATAAGAGGACAGAAATTTCCAGGAAAGCGCTCACTCCTTGGGCAAATATAGAGAGAAGGTTTACCTCTTTCTCAGTTAGGGAGATTACAGAGTCCATATGTGCAACCTTGTGACTCTGCTTCCCTGTGAAAAATTGTTTTCTTCCTACCCTCCATTAAGAGACCCATTCACTAAGGAATTAGACCTGAGGTTTCTATCCTCCAGGGAAACAATCCAATAAACGAATTGAAGCCAAATTATTAAAAAATTTGTGACACAGGTTCATAACCATTTATTCAAATACATAGGGCAAGACATTATTTCAGAATTTACAATTTTTCAGATTTGAACAAAGCATTACTGTGATAGTAGCCCACAATCAAACCTATTAAGATTTCTTCAAGAAAATGTATGCATATTCACACTACATAGAATGGGTAAAGATGTTGGATGACATCACCGACTCAATGGACATGAGTTTGAGCAAGCTCCAGGAGATGGTGAAGGACAGGGAAGCCTGGCATGCTAGAGTCCATAGGCTCACAAAGAGTCAGACATGACTGAGCAACTGAATAACAACAAATAGCTTTAAAACAGTTCAGTTTGAGTTTCTCCACCAAGTTGGAACCAAATTTAAGAAACAAAATTCCAGTTTTCAGTGTCATTTAGAGTTTGAGTTTGTGGATAAGGAATTGTGGAACTTTATTTCAATGTGCCATCTTCCACTGAGGATTTTTAAAGTGAGGCAGTGTTTTAACCTTTTCATAGGCTAAAACAGAAAAGGAAAAGGCTTTATTTGGGAGTGGGGGCTCCAAAATCACTGCAGATAGTGATTGCAGCCATGATATTAAAAGATGCTTGCTGCTTGGAAGAAAAGCTATGACCAACCTAGACAGCATATTAAAAAGAAGAGACATTACTTTGCCAACAAAAGTCCATCTAGTCAAAGCTATGGTTTTTCCAGCAGTCATGTATGGATGTGAAAGTCAGACTGTAAAGAAAGCTGAGCCTCAAAGAACTGATACATTTCAACTGTGGTGTTGGAGAAGACTTTTGAGAGTGCCTTGGACTGCAAGATCAAACCCGTCAATCCTAGAGGAAATCAGTCCTGAATATTCATTGGAAGAACTGATGCTGAAGCTGAAACTCCAATACTCTGGCCACTTGATGTGAAGAACTGACTCCTTGGAAAAGACCATGATGCTGGGAAAAATTGAAGGCAGGGGGAGAAGGGGACGACAGAGAATGAGATGGTTGGATGACATCTCCGACTCAATGGACATGAGTTTGAGTAAACTCTGGGAGTTGGTGATAGACAGGGAAACCTGGCGTGCTGCAGTCCATGGAGTTGCAAAGAGTCAGAGATGATTGAGTGACTGAACTGAATTGAACTGAGTGTTTTAGCCAGGATATATCATGGGAACTAGAAAGAGAGAGTTTGGTTAAAGAGAGCTTTGCTAGTGACACTTAAATCATAACCTTATAGATTACTTCCCGCTCCAACAGGGGGTAATTGTTGTTGTTTAGTTGGTCAGTCATGTCCGACTCTTTTGCAACCCCAGGAACTGTAGCCCACCAGGTTCCTCCATCCATGGGATTCCCAGGCAAGAATACTGGAATGGGTTGCCATTTCCTTCTCCAGGGGATCTTCCTGACTCAAGGATCAAACCTGGGGTCTGCTGGTTGGCAAGCAAATTCTTTACCATTGAGCCACCTTGGGAAGCCCCATCTATTACAGTAATATTCAACTTACAGGTATTTTTTTTTTTTTAAGATTCCCACTGAATGATCCATAAAGGTTACAGAATAGGAGTATCTAAATTTCCATTCTGCCCAGAGAAATTAAATATTGTGAATGCATTTTCCCTACTCTAGGTGAGGAACTCCACCCTCCTCCTCATCCAAACCATGTGTGAAAAATGCTACATTGAAGCCCGGGAAGGCTGGCCACTGATCGACTACATCTTCACCCAGTTTTCAGTGTCCAGCAAGAATCCGGTACGAAGAGGGCGCCGTCTTGAGTGCTGCTCTGCGACAAGTGCAGTTGACTCAACTGGATTTTTAAAAATACCTGCAGTTCAATTTAGTGACCGAAGTCATACTTAAGCTTTATCACTTTTATTAATAAAGTTTTCAGCATCTAGTGTTCTCAGTCCCCTTCCACTGATACCATTTCTAACTTATCATAAATGCAAAGTAGGTTAAGTCCCAGTTTTCCCTGAAGAGGAGGCAACCTGGCCTCCAAGGCCGGGGGCTGGTTTGGAGAGAGGCAGAGAAAGTGAATTGTTTCTAGAAAACAGGAGACATCCATACTCGTTACACTGGTTCCTTTGGATGAAGAGCCTGAACAAGATGTGTCTAAGATCTCAGTGATCTTACAACCTCACTGCAAGTGAAATTGCAGTCCACTCCATAGGAAGTAGTGGAAATTTTTGTCCCAGAGAAAAATGGGGAAAGGCCTGAGTAGAAAGGGGGTAATTGAAGTTCACAATGTTTGTTTTTCTGTGAAAAAAGCCAGAGGCATTTTTGTCTCCCCATTCCTCCAAAGAGCACATAAAAACAGGGATTAGATACTGGAGACCAAGGTCACTGGGTTCCTCAAGTCCTTTAAGTTGAGTGACTTTATCCTCCAGCCCAGAGACTAAGAACACACCCCAGGTCAGAGGAGACCAACAACAAGGATTATTAACAAGGCACCTGCTTCATCTTTCTTAAAGGAGAAACCAATAAAACCTAACTCCCAGGAGACTGAAAAGGGAGAGACATCTATCCGAGAAATAAGCCTGGAGGTCTTAAAAACCCTGGACCCACTGGTCATTGGAATGCCTCAGGTAAGGAGTCTTCTGTCACCACTCATTGTTCCTTTGATCACCCTTCTAAAGCTCTGTCCATTTAGGAGTGAAGAAGTTGGTGCTCCATCTGTCATCAGCTTTTTGATGCTCTAGCCAGAGAAATTATGTGAGAATATTCAAGGCCAGCAAATAATGGTTTCTTAAAAACAGGTGCTAAATTAGCTACATACTCTTTTATATCTGGAGGCAAATGGCAATTTATAAGCATCTTAGTATATTATTTCTCTTCTTCCCCAAATGTATTTAGACATATTATCAAGTAGTAATGCAGTGAATGCTAAACTTACCCCCACTTACCTGGGAAGGTGTTAAAAGCACACATTCTCAGACCTCAGTTGAGGTCTAAAATAATCTGAACCTCAGGAACTTTGAGATCTGCTTTTTGCTTAAGAAAAACAACCTGGGAAAGGATTTAATGACCAGAAATATATGGCACAGCCAGAAGACAATCTACAGACCAATTTAAGTGAATCAGAGGCTTTATTTAGGATGGTATTTTAAGGTGTGATTGTAGATTACCTGCAATATTTATTTAAAATGCAGATTTCCAGGTCACATGCCAGATCTAAATGAGTCAGCATATCTGGGCATGGGGCCCATGAGTCAGCATGCAAATAAGTTCCAACATTTCCGATGCATATTAAAGTTTGGGAAATTTCTGATCTAGTAGTAAATGATGAAAAAGTAGCCTAGAGCCAGAATCATAAAGGGTCTGAAATGCTAAATTCCTACCTTGTCTTTGATGAGCCTCTGGAAATTTTAAGCAAGGGCTAAACATTTGATAACTATAGGAAGTCAGTGAATTGACATGAGTAGTCTAAGCACAGAGATTATATATAAGATGAGATAAGATTCATAGGGACTGTATATGGGTCATAAAAGTAGGAAGGGAAATATGGAAGGGCATGAGAAATCTTATAATGAAAGAAAGGTCTAGGCTTGGTGATTCAATGGGGTTTCCCAAGTGGCACTAGTGGTAAAAAAAAAAAAAAAAGAAACACAAAAAACCCCACCTGCCAATGCAGNTGGAGGAGGGCATGGCAACCCACTCCAGTATTCTTGCCAGGAGAATCCCATGGACAGAGGAGTCTGGCAGGCTACAGTCCATGGGGTCAAAAACAGTCAGACATGACTGAAGCAACTTAGCATGTTGGTGATTAAATACAGATGGCAAGACAAAGTGCAGAGTCCAAGTTGATACCTAGGTTTCCATTAGTACATGAGCCATATTCAAGTTTTCTGAGGGATGTGAAAGACGCAGACTACAGAAGTTAGCACCTGGAGCACAGACAGCAACAACAGTCCATTCGCTATCCATTCCCAATCTTTCTCACTTTGGAGAGTTCCACTCCAGTCTTGGAGCTTGAAGACATATATGGGGCATTTTTGGTTGTCGTATTGACAAGGGGCTTAATGGCACCTGGTGAGTGGAGCCTGGCGCTCCCTGCAGTGACCCACATTGAAGAGTTGTCCTGTCCAGATTCCAGCAGCAACCCCATGGAGAAACACTGACTAACACTCATGGCAAGTAGCACCTGAAAATGAATGTGCTCAGCAGAGACTGGATTTCATGATTTCATTTTGACCTGGCCTGAAGAGCAAAATAATAACAAGTGAGAGGAAGTTTTCTAAACTAGAGGGAAACACACAGTGAGGACCAGGGAGGAATAATGGAAAAGAGCAAGCAGCACTTGCATCTTGCCTTTGTTTTCCACAGGTGCTGTGGCCCAGAATCCTGACTTTCGTGGTACCTGCGGAATATACGGGAACGCTGGAATACCTGTTTAATATCATCAGGATTCTGTTTATGGCAGAGGAAAGAAAGAAGAAGAATGCCAAAGAGTCAACAGCACTTGTCATCTCTACAGGAGTTGGTTTGTACATTCAAAACAAAGCAAAACATTTCTCTTACGAGAGACTCGTTTCCTGAAGGGCTGCGGGGCTTCGCTGCTACACCCAACCCCAATCTGAATTTTTCTAGCCCCCATAACAGTAATGAAAATTACTTTCTCTTTCTAGTGAAACTTCCTTCACCGCAACAGCTACTGGCCAGACTTCTGGTGAGTGAGTTATGAAAAAGCAAGGTGGGATCAATTTAAACCAATGCAGATATTTCCAGTTCCAAATAAATGATAGTAAAAGTGACAAAGATACTCCAAACCAAAAGAAACACTAAAACAGCATAATAAATATTCTGCTATATTAATGATACTCATGAAAATTTATTCCTGGCAAGATTATCTCCTCACTCTGAAATGTTTGTTAAAACTTCATTTATGATTTTTAAATAAGAATAAACTGAATCTGATCCATAAGAATGATTCAAGCAAATTGCATATCTGTTGTTTAGATTTCTCTCTCTCCTTTTGGCCACATACTCCAGCTGTATCTCCACATGTATCTCCTGATTTAATTCACAGATATATCTGTTAGTACATTTCATTTACTTTCAGTTGATGCCTTCCATATACTTTTTCACCTTTATCCACAGGAAAAAATCAGACAGATGGATGTCTAAGTATTTAGCTTTGCTCTAGAATAAGTAAGAATAGACTGTGATGGTCTGTTAAAAGATTATCTAATGAAGGATTCTAGGGAATACAGAACAATGATTAAGAGGAAAAGCTTGGTGAGCCTTTTAAATACCCCTGAGTTGATCAATAATTTTTCTTCCATCCTCCAGGTAATATCTATGCTCGCTAGTGTGGGGAAATTGCTTGGGGCTGGTGCAATAGGACTTTTGAAGATATTGCCTGAGATAATTCACCCAAATTTAGTAGAGTTGTGGAAAACACGCATACCTGAACTTCTACAGCCTTTGGAAGGTACAAGTGCATGGGATCAGGCCTTATTCAAGGAGGCAAGAGCACGAAGAACAAGGCACCCCTTCTGTGTCTTAAGCCATGAGTGTTCATCTTAGACAATAAAAACAGTGAACTCGATATGCAAGGTGGACAGCTCTGTTTTGTCCTAGACGCCTCAGGTTCTAGTTCTCTACCAAATACTTATACTGTAAGAAGGTCAAGGGGGTTATATACTTAGCAAGAACTTTTACTTGTGATCTGGTCTTTTTCTTGTATTTAGAGAAGTTTTCTTTTGGTATTATTTTGAAATGTTATTATTCATCTATGCTAGAATATTAAAATACTATCATTCAGTAAGTACTGTTGAAATTGGCAAAAAGCCTGGATTTTTATCATGAACTAGCAATTTAAGATTGCTAACATAGTAATTTTAATCTGAAATAACCATCCTGTGTAGGGAGAAAACTGAAAATGGAACACTAGCATCCAGTGGGAACCTGGCAAGGGAGAAGTACATCTTGAATTTTCCTTTTTTTTTTTTTTTTTTGCCCTTATTGCATCAATTTCTATTTCTAGGAAAGAATACTAGTATCGTGCTGTGGGAGACCATGCTGCTTCAGGTAAAGATGGCTCCCAGACCAACTGTTGATGATGGGGTGACGAAACCACCTTAAAATCACTCACCTTGACCAGAAAGAATTAGATTCCCAAGGGCAGGAAACAGGATTTCCTTTTCTTGAGAGAATTGTTAGACTATTAGATGTGATCATGTCAACACTGTGCTCTTTAAATGACCATAATTTGAACAACAATCTTTAGTCTTCAGTTTGGTTCAGAATTCAGGACAGTTTTGAAGATTTCACTTACTAATATTTTTCTCCTTGTTTCTTAAATCTTCTCTAATTTTCAAGTTTTCTCCTCTCCTTGCAATTGCATTCTTTCACCCTTCATATAGAGAAACAGAAATTAACATAATTTCCACTTCTTTGCTCCTAAATACAACTCGATTCGCTCCTATATCTGCTTCTCATTATCTTTTTCCTGATGTCTAAACACCAAAAGGCCACATTGCACCCCTTCTCCAGAAAAGAATCTTACTCTTATCCATAACTTTTTGGACTTTGACAGCCAAGAGTGCCACGATGTCAAATCCCATAACTGTAAGATAGGACTTGCAGATAGGACTTGGACATTAGCATTACAGACAGCACATTGGTTTTAGGAGTTCACAGGAGATCAATGAGCCCACAGTCAGGAAGCTTTTAATCCAACAGAGCTTCAGTTCTTAAACCACCTATATAAAAATTAACTATGGCTTCCTTATATTTTTATTGAATTTATTGATTTACTGATGTACAGCAAAGTGATTCTGTTATACATACCCATGTATATACATATACATTCTTTATTAATATTCTTTTCCATTATGGTTAATCATAGGATATCGAACATAGTTCTCTGTGCTATACAGTAGGACCTTGTTGTTTGTCCATTCTGTATATAAAAGCTTACATTTGCTAATCCCAGCCTCCCATTCCATCCTTTCCCTCTCCCCATCTCCCTTGGCAACCACCAGTCTGGTCTCCATGTCCAAGAGTCTGTTTCTATTTCATAAAAATTTTCGCTTGTGTTGTAGTTTAGATTTCACATATAAGTGATACCATATGATATTTGTCTTTTTCTGATTTACTTCACTTAGTATGATAATCTCTACTTGCATCCATCTTGCTGTAAATGGCATTACTTTGTTCTTTTTAATGGCTGAGTAGTATTTCATTGTATATATGTACCACATCTTCTTTATCCATTCATATATCTATGGACACTTAGATTGCTTCTGTGTCTTGGCTATTGTGAATAGTGCTGCTATGAACATAGAGCCACAAGTATCTTTTCGCATTATAGCTTTGTTCAGGAGCAGGCTTACCTAGATCATATAGCAATTTTATTTTTTTATTTTCTGAGGAGCCTCCATACTGTTTTCCACAGGGGCTTACCAACTTACATTCTCACCAAGAATGTAAGAAGGTTCCCTTTTCTCCACACCCTCCCTAGCATTTGTTATTTGTAGACTTTTTAAAGATGACCATTCTAATCAGTGTGAGGTAGTACCTCATTGTAGTTTGTTTTCATTTGGGGGCAGTTTTGAGGGGGTATGTTTATTACCATTTATTACAGAATAGGTGTATTTTAAAAAGTAAGCTAAGCGTATTTTTAATGATATTTTAATTTATATTTTAAAAAGTACCTGTGAAATAACTTTTTAGGATTTTGATTATAAAATTTGCTAGATTTTCTTTTGTATTTTAGTTTTATTGGAGTAGAGTTGATTTACAATATTGTATTAGTTTCAGGCATACAGCAAAATGACTCAATTATACTTATACATACGTTCATTCATTTTTAGATTATTTTCTCATGTAAGTTATCACAGAATATTGGGAAGAGTTCCCTGTTCTATACTGTAGGTCCTTGTTGGTTGTGCTAAGTCACTTCAGTAGTGTCCAACTCTTTGTGACCCTGTGGACTATATATAGCCTGCCAGGCTCTTCTGTCCGTGGGATTTTCTAGGCAAGAACACTGGAGTGGGTTGCTGTGCCATCCTCCAGGGAATCTTCCCAGCCCAGGAATCAAACCCACATATCTTACATCTCCTGCATTGGTGAGTGGGTTCTTTACCATTAGCACCACTAGGAAGCCCCCCATGTTGGCTATCTCTCTTATATAGTAGGTGCTCTCATGTTTTCCCAAGCTCCTGATTTATCCCTCCCCTTCCCATGTTTTCTCTTTGGTAACCATAAGTTTGTTTTTTATATCAATGTTTACTTCTGTTTTATAAATAAATTCATTTGTGTCTTTTAAAAAAAATTATATCTTATATAAAAGTGATATCATATGATATTTTTCTTTCTCTGACTTACTTAGTATGATAATCTCTACATCCATCATGTTGCTACAAATGGCATTATTTCATTCCTTTTTATGGCTGGATAATATTCCACAGTATATATGTACCGTATCTTTTTTTAATCCATTTCTCTGTTGATGGACATTTAGAGTTGATTTGTGTTCCTCTAATAATTAGCAATGCTGAGCATCTTCATTTGAACTATAATTTCTATAAAATGTCATATTTCAGTGACCTCTCCACAGCACCTCTACCCCTAACACCCCTCTTCTAGAATCAGAATCTCCAAGAGGGGGTACATGACAGCTTACAGGTCTTGGTGATGCCCACAAATGAGTCTTATCCAATATGAGGTTTGAAAGCAACAGCTCTATTCTTCCTGTTCCTTAAGTCTAGAATCTATCTTCCTCCTATATTAATGCTTCTTTTACCTCTCCCTCCCTCTATCAAAATTTCTACCTTGTTTCCCCACTGCCATTTTAAAATAACTGTTCTTACTAGGAAGGAAAGTTCCTGAAGCCTTGAGAACATTACTTTTCCTTCCTCCTATCTTGAGTATACTTCTTGGCTTCTTTTTCCAAAACTGTCTCCATTTGCTTTCTTCCCTTATAATGCCAAGGTTGTACAATTTTTACTTTTCAAAAGATCCATTGAATGAATTCTTATTAAGAAAATACATTACAAACTTTTTCAATGGTTTTGACACTGTGTTCTTTCTAAGCTTAAGGTAGAGAAAACATAAGAGAAATCATAGATTTTAGAAATTGCAATGGATTTTGTCCTCCAAAAAGACAAAAATACCTCTTCATGTGTGGTTCAATGAAGAAAGACATGTGTTCAGATGACTGATTGTGGCCCTGGCTCAAAATAATTGGTGAAATGAGGAATATTTCATTACTCCAGTTGAAGTTGGCAACTTATGCTTGTACATCTAATTGGTTCTTCAAGGCCTTTAATTCACTATTCCAAAAATGTCCCTTTTTCTTAGTATATAATAAAACAAACTAACTTTGACAAATGGAGTTTTTCCAAATCTACTGAAAACTTGAAAAATGTTAACTTCAATTTAAGTTTCAGATTAGATGAGTTTCTATTGTAAGTCTTTTGGCAATTTTTATTTAAAAGGAAAACAGAAGGCTCTTACATGGAGTTAACTTCCACTTCCTATGGATCTGATTCTTACTGGAAATTTGGAACAGTACAGAGTATGTCTTCTAAAATAAGAAGAAAAGTTTAAAAGTAATGAAGTTTTTATGGGAAAAGGAATAGTCCATATAATATACATTTTATACTTCTAGAATATATTGTAACAGAAAAGTACCAAGAAAGCACATTAAACAGTCACATTCATATCTGATTTTCACCTCCTACAACAGTTGCTCAAAGAATCGTTATGGAAGATCAATGATGTAGCCTGGACCATTCAACTGAGTCGGGATTTCAACCAGCAAATGAATAGTTACAGCAACACCTCTGTCGAGAAGGTTGGTTTTTCAACTAGAGACCGTATCTTCTAATTTATGACCAAAAATTGTGGTTCAAGTTCCAGCTGTCTGCACTGCAATGCAAAGGAGGGAGAAGTGGTTAGAAAAACGCTCCCTTCTGTTTCCCTTTATTTGACCCAAAGTCACAGGGCCACAGCCTATCTGCAAGGAAAACTGCTGAGTACAGCACCTTCGAGATAAATACATGCCTGACCAAACTTTGGAGGTTCTCTTTTAGAGAAGGGGGAAAAAAAATTACTGGAGAGCAAATAGCAGCCTCTTAACCATAGCACTGGTTCAATGCCAGTTTATGTCTTGGTTTCCATTCCACTGGGCCACTCTTGTGAGGCTGGCTGAGGGGAATAATCTTTTTTTTTTTTTAATTGAAAAAAAAAAAAAAACCAGAGCACTCAAATTTACAATTTTTACAAATTTACATTTTTACAAATTTACAAATTTTCATTCCTCTCTCTATACATGACCTCTACCAAACCCTCCACACTGTAACTGTCCATTACAAATGGAGTTTGAATCCAGCTTCCACTATTTAACTACTAATGCAGCTTTTGGTAAAATTTTTAACCTTTTCGGAGCCTCAGTATACTTACCAATAAGATGGAAATTTTTATCTCTCTCTGAGAACTATATTGTTATAAGGGTTCAATGAGATAAAGTATATAAAGACCCTAGTGAAGTGTCTGGCACATGGCATGTGTTCAATAAAAAGTAGATTGTAGTGATCACTGTGGTTATATCATTTTGAAATTTTTTCCCCCTGGAAAAACATTTCCTCAGTTATTAAGTGTTCCCAGTATTGAGTGTCTCTTCCCACAAATCCTTTATTATCAACCTACAACTCTCCTACATCATTTTCAAATCCTAAATTTTTTCCTGGAAAAAAAATTTCCTAAATCATTGTGTTCCCAGGATTAGGTATCTCTTTCCACAAGTTCTTTATTAGCAACCTGCAACTCTTCTATGTAATTTTCAGAATCCAGCTCATTGGTTGACTCTCTAATTTGGTACAGAGTACTGATTCTCCAAATTGGCCTACCCGGCCTGCAGACACACCCATCAGGAGGATTTGTTGAGCAGTGCCTCATCTTCTTATACACAAACAGCCTTGTGCATCTTATGTAATACCATTCATCCAATGGCTCCCAAACCCACAAGATTAGTCCAAGATAATGGTGGTGAGAGTAGACAAAACAATTCAAGCAGCAAGGTGCCTCGATGTCTCTCAACTGCTGTGCCTAACACCAGAAAAGTAGGAGTGTACTAAGTAGCTTTAAAAGCATGACAAACTATCCTTAGTGGCTTAAAATAATGGGCACCTAAAAAGCTTTTGATTTTGCAGGTTGACAGTTTGGGTTGGACTCAATTGGGAAGTCTTCTGATCTCAACTAGCCTCACTGGGGTGTACTGGGGATTGGCTGGTCTGGGATGATCTTATTTAGGACAGCTTGTTTCTACTCCTCGTAGTCCCTCATCCTCCAGCAGGCTATCGGGGGCTTGCTCTCATGGTGGTGGCAATTATGTGTGCAAGATCCTTGAGGTCTAAGCTCAAAAGGGGCATACTGTCACTTCTACCACATTCCAGTGACAAAAGCAAATTGCAAGGCAAGCCCAGATGCAAAGAATGGAGAAATAGACTTGTCTTGATAGGAATTGTAAATTTCCATAGCAGGGAAGCATGGATAGAAATGAAATAGAAAGATTATGGCTATTTTATGATCAACCACAATTTCCCCCCAATTCAGGCTTTCTGATTTCTGGGATTCCTAACTAAGTCCCCAGTGTGTGAATGCACTATTCATTTAATCTGACAAAATTCAGCAGATAAGCAGAAGTACTGGGAGGCACTGAAGCTATATTATAATATAATATATTTTCCTCCTTCATCAAATCAATATTGCTGCAGCACAAGATTTTCCCAACTCTTTCCTGCCCTGCTCCCAAGATGAAGCTAAATAGACTCTAGCAGCTTTGGCCCTACTTAGGGGATCTTTTGCCTAGACAACTGAGAATGAGTGGATGCTTCCTCAACAGATTCTTACTCTGATCAAGTCTACTCTTTCTCTGTTCCATCTGTTTTATAGCCTTATGGCCCCCTCTCATCCCAAAGCAGATAAATCTGTACAATTTCTCCTGAATGTACTAATTTGACTTTATCTGTTACTCCTAGATTTTCCATTTCTCCTGTGCCATAGATCCTTTCTGATCACTAATGATCACTCAATAGCTACAATCCTTTGAGCTCTGCAGAGTTTTTGGAGTGGACTTCCAACTGGCCACTTTTCTCTCCTTTCTGTAACAAGATGGACATTTTAAATTAAAAGATGCCAATCTGGTATTAAGTTGCAATATATACCTGCATGTTCATACACCTATTTACAGCCAGGCATGTGCTATAATTTTCCAACACAAGCTACTGCAGGGCTGTCCCATGCCCCTAGTCAATAACTCTACATGGCCTCCAGTGAAAGATGACTGGAAGCAGTGTCTGTTCTACTTGCCTTTTCTCCATCCCAACACTACAGAGGTGCCCAGCGTAGGGCTGACATAATGAACCCAACATTCTCACCACCTCTAGAGGTGGTGGAAGCCATTCCTGACATGCTCTTCACCAGTGTTCCTCCATTGGGAGCTTTCCTTCCCCAATTTATTCAGTGTTCATTACTGAAGACACAATGTGTATGTGAAAGTTCTTATGTGACTTTTTTGCTTCATTCCTAACACCATTCTGACAGCACTTCTGGAGAGAGAGAATGGTTGAGAACCCACGGTATTATTTTCAAAACTACTGTTAAATCTCTTAAACTATAAACCAAGTCAATATACTGTGAAGTTTGAAAATATCAGATGACATTGCCTTCAAAATAACCCAAATTTTCATTGAGCATGTTTATTCAATAAGCACTTATTAACACTTGTTTGTACATAGCAGATAATCAGTAAAAACCTCTGCTACCAAGAACTGAAATTCTAAGCATAGAGACAATAAGAAAATTAAAAATCACAGTAGGTAATAAAAGGTATCACTATGATGACAGGGCACACAGCAGAGGAAGGCAGGAGAACACAGAAGGAGGACAGAACCTGTGGGGAGGGAACACTTTGAAGAAGGGACAGTACATGAAAGGGCTTGATAAGTAAGCAGTCCTAAGTCAACTCAATGTCTTTTTTTTGAATGACTGTTTTTACTCTTTCTACTTTTTATCAGTCTTGCTTTCCAACTTTTAACATTCTGTTGCTTGTCCTTTGTTTTCCAGAAGTTTCTTTGGAAAGCCTTGGGAACCACCTTAGCATCCTGCCAAGATGTGGACTTTGTAAGCTCACAGATTAAGGAATTTCTGGCTGCTCCCCACCTCCTGGGGGACCAACGCCAGGTGGGACCACTTTCTCTCAATTTCCTCTTGTGACGATGATAAGGAATTCCCTCTGGAAAACCTCTGGCAGTTCTCACATTAATATTTTATTTATCCAGAATTATCGATGCATACATTCAAAACAGTCCAACAGAATTTTTTCAGAAAAATGAGGCTTCCCTATTTATTATTATTTTTAGAGTATAATTGCTTTACAATCTGTTATTTTCTGCTGTACAACAGCATGAACCAACTATATATATACGTATATACCCTCCCTCTTGAGCCTCCCTCTCACCTGCTGTTCTGCCTGGGCTGAGCTCCCTGTATTTGTTTTACAGCAGCTTCCTACTAACTATGTATTTTACACATGGTAGTATATATTCATATGTCAATGTATATGTCATATACATTGTATGTCAATGTATATGTATGTGTCTATGTCTATGTCTATGTATATGTCAATGCTACTATCCCAATTCATCCCACCCCATTTCCTCCCAGGGTCCACATGTCTGTTCTTTACATCTGTGTTTTCTATTTCTGTTCTGCAAATAGGTTCCTCTGTACCATTTTGCTAGATTCCAAATATATGCAATATTTGTTTTTCTCTTTCTGACTTACTTTACTCTGTAGACAGACTCTAGGTCCATCCATGTCACCAAAATAACCCAATTTCACTGCTTTTTATGGCTGAGTAATATCCCATCATATGTATGTACCACATCTTCTTTATCCATTCATCTGTTGATGGACATTTAGGTTGAGGCTTCCCTATTTAAAAATCAGTGCTTCATTATCTAATTAGATTTGTGAAAATAGTGAAAAATGAATTTCAGTCTCTCCTACTCAATAAGAGTATTTTAAAAATATTTTGGCCTTGGCTTTGTAACATAAGGGTATGATTGTAAGTATCGAAATCATTAAACGTGTAAGCTGAAAGTAAGGGTATGTATCATTGGTTTTCCTCCTAGAGAAAATACAAATATAACCTGGAAAGCTTTGGCAAATAGCTTTTGCCTATTCCCTACCCTAGTCAAAGCTGGAGAGCATATGTGAATGTGGAAGAAAAAGAAAATGTCTGTTTAAGAAAAGAAACCACTAGGGCATAAAGACCAGCCAGTAAAAAATAACTTATCATAGTCTGTCTTTTTATACGCCCTTCTCAGAAATTCTCAGGTGTTTAGGGTCCTTTCCCCATTGTAAATAGCTAGATAACACTACACTTACTGAACTTTTAAAACTGACTTTAATTCTTGTTAGTTCTTTTTTCCATCTCAGATATTCAGCCTTCAATTATTTCCCACTGACATTATTCCTAGCACCATTATTTCCATTCTAGTTGCCCTTTTAGTTCTGCTCTGGGCTAGGAAACAACTAAGTTTATTTTAGATCCAAGCATACCATATGGCCATCATTCAAAGTCTGAGGGATTCACAAACCTTAGAAGATGAACTTTATGACATCCACTTAAGCTTCTCAAGTGCCTCTTTTACTTAACTTTGCTTAAAGTTCTTGAGTGTATCCTGCACACTCAAATCCCTTAGCAAATGGCCTCTGGGTTGGTGAGGAGTTAACACATAACTCTCAGGTCTCACTGATCAGCTGGCCTTCCTTCTCCTAAGAGTGACTCTCTCACTCAGGTGACAGCCAGGCTCTGATTCTGGTGTCAGACCAGCTGGATTCAAATCCTGCCTCCACAACACACTGCCTGCATCCCTCAAGTTTCTCCAAATAAAATAAAGGAAAATAGACTCCTCAAAGTTCTTTTTCATAGAAAATGCTTAGTAAGGAGTTTCAGGAGAGAAGATCTGAAATGACAACTGTGAGGAACTGGAGAGAGAAAATAGATTAAAGAAGACAAATAAGATATGTATGCAGATTTGAGGGCCCCTTGGGGAGTTGAAATCATCTTATACTCCAGCAGTTTTCTCAGTGGTGTCATTTTTTTTCCCCAGCAAATGAGGTATACAGATAAGTGATAGACAAGATTGAGAGTCAGATTTATCCAGGGCCTGGGGTTTGCCAAACTCACAGGATAGAAAGACAGTGGGACATAGGTCAGAGTTGGAAAGTTGGATAGGGATTTAAGAAGTTAGGAAGATGGGTCGGGAGAGGAGAAACACAGAGCACTGTGGGGTGAGAAGACCCAGAGATGGAAAAACACAGAGGTTTACATCTTGGGATATAAAGGAACCAAGGAACCATGACCAAGGAACACAGAGACACCAGGCCACCAGTCTTTAAACATTTCTTCCAAGCATCTCCTGGTAGTGGAGGGTGTAAGACCTGATATCTAAGAACAGTACTGGTTGAGAGCTTGATGACAGAAGTCTAGTGCCTGGATTCTCATGCTGGCTTTAGCAGGGTTATGCAACCAAATGAAGCAAATCAGGACTCATGAACAAACTGGCATGAAGGTACAGTGGTGAAGTGAGCCTGAAGCAAGAGAGGTGGAATGTGGGCAAGGGGGAACTATGAACACAGCGTGTGAAACAGGAGCTTTCAACATTTTAACCACCTAAGGGTGAAGTTAACCTGGGCTTCCCTGCTGGCTCAGACAGTAAAACATCCGTCTGCAATGCAGGAGAGCTGGGTTTGATCTCTGGGTCAGGAAGATCCCCTGGAGAAGGGAATGGAAACCCACTCCAGTATTCTTGCCTGGGCAATCACATGGACAGAGGAACCTGGAGGGCTATAGTCCACGGGGCCACAAAGAGTTAGACAGGACTGAGCAACTAATACTTTCACTTTTCAAGGAAAAGTTTCAGTAGGAGAGTTATCCTGTAGAAATTATAGTCAACTCCAGCTCAAGAAAACCTCCACTTGTTTCCAACTGGTCTAAGATTAAAAATCCAAAGTATTGAGTGTGGCCTAAAAGACCCTACTCAGACCATCCCCCACTTTCTCTCTGACCTCATCTTGCACTTCTTTGTTCCATCTGCCCTCCTTGGTGGACCTCAGGACCTTTGCACTTACTCTCTCTGTTTGGAACTCTCATTTCCAGGAAGTCCATTGGCTCACTCTCTTGCTTATTTCGGGGCTCTTCTCCACGTCACCCTTTTATTGACAACTTCTCTGGCTACTCTATTTGTATTGCCAACTCCCCCAGCTTGCAGAAGCTACCGTTTTTTTTTTCTTCTTTTCTTACAGCACTTATCACCATTTGACATACTATATATTTATATGCTTACTGGATTTACGTATTCACTTTATCTCACTTCCTTGTGACTTCCCCTGGTTTTACACTCAAGAGTTTGGTGTGTTCTGTTGACTCCTATTTCTCCAGTGCCTAGAGCTCCTGATGCATCAAAATGCCCTGTCTTTTCTGATTTTAGGGAATAACATCTGTCTTAGGATACTGTGCTGAGAAACACTTTGAAGTTGTCTTAAAAGTTCTTAAAACATTCCAAGATCGGGAAAAGTTTTTCATGAATCGATGTAAGGTAAAAAAAGATATCCGTCTCCTTCAAAGCCCTTGGTCATTGCAAAGGCAAGTGACACTGACTCCATCAGTGGACATCCTTTCTCCATATCACACTTGCTCTCGTCCCCAGGTCTTTATATCAGGTTGGAACCATCTGAGCCCGAGCCCTGTAGAATGACCAGCTAGATAACAAGTCTCCTCCATTTCCTGTCACTCTTGCTGACCTGGGAGGCCCTGAGGAGCTGTGTGTGTCTTGTTTTCTCCCTTTACTGGCTCCTCAGGTCTCATGGACCGTTTCCATTGCATACACTCTGCTTCCCCTAAAGAAGAGGAATAAATGAGTAAAAATGAATGCAAGCCCTCTCACAAGTACCTCTATTAAAGCCTGGTAGGTCCACCACACCGTTTTGGGTGTTTAAATTTATATCAGCAAGTGCATCAGCTTCAGACTCATTTTAATAATCCCAGTCCCATTTCTTAACTCCCATAGTGGCCCATAGGATTAGGAAAAATCATGAGAGGAAAAGAAACTCCTTCAGTTGTATTTTTCACGCCTCTCTTTTCTCCTCTTCAGGGTATTTTCTCTGGGAAAAAGAGCCTGAGCAAAACAGATGTCATGGTAATCTATGGAGCCGTAGCCCTCCATGCACCCAAGAGTCAACTCCTAACCAGGCTTGATCAGGACATTGTATCCCAAGTCCTGTTTCTCTACGGCCAGTGCTCTCGGGTAATAGCCAACACAGGGCTACTTCAATTTCCAAGACTGGGGTTCCCAAACATTAGAGGAGCTCAGCTCTTGGAAATCTTCATCCTCAAGGGATACAGACCAAAGGGAAGATAGGATCTGGTACATTTGGAAGATGAGAACATATTATTGTTGCTCAATCACTCAGTCATGTCCCACTCTTTGCTACCCCGTAAACTGTAGCAGGCCAGCCTTCCCTGTCCTTCACCATCTCCCAGAGTTTGCTCAAACTCATGTCCATTGAGTCAATGATGTCATCCAAACATCTCATCCTCTGTTGCACCCTTCTCCTCTTGCCCCAGTCTTTCCCAGCATCAGGGTCTTTCCAATGAGTCAGCTCTTCACAGCAGGTGACCAAAGTTTTGGAGCTTCAGCTTCAGCACCAGTCCTTCCAATGAATATTCAGGACTGATTTCCTTTAGGATTGACTGGTTGGATCTCCTTCCTGTCCAAGAGACTCTCAAGAGTCTTCTCCAACACCACAATTAGAAAGCATCAATTCTTCAACTCTCAGCCTTCTTTATGGTCCAACTCTCACATCTGTATGTGACTATTGGAAAAACCATAGTTTTGACTATATGTCTGCAAAGTGAGAACATATGGGAAGAGAAAATTTGATTATGAAATGGAGTTTAGTGATTTGTTTCTTTTGTAAGATATTGGGCAGAGTTCCAAAGAATAGCAAGGGGAGATAAGAAAGCCTTCCTAAGCGATCAATGCAAAGAAATAGAGGAAAACAGGAGAAAGGGAAAGACTAGAGATGTCTTCAAGAAAATTAGAGATACCAAGGGAACATTTCATGCAAAGATGGACTCAATAAAGGACAGAAATGGTATGAACCTAACATAAGCTGAAGATATTAAGAAGAGGTGGCAAGAATACACAGAAGAACTATACAAAAAAGATCTTCATGACCCAGATAATCACAATGGTGTGATCACTCACCTAGAGCCAGACAACCTGGAATGGGAAGTCAAGCAGGTCTTAGGAAGCATCACTATGAACAAAGCTAGTGGAGGTGATGGAATTCCACTTGAGCTATTTCAAATCCTAAAAGATGATGGTGTGAAAGTGCTACACTCAATATGTCAGCAAATTTGGAAAACTTAGCAGTGTCCACAGGACTGGAAAGGGTCAGTTTTCATTCCAATCCCTAAGAAAGGCAATGCCAAAGAATGCTCAAACTACTGCACGATTGCACTCATCTCATATACTAGCAAAGTAATTCTCAAAATTCTCCAAGCCAGACTTCAACAGTACGTTAACCAAGAACTTCCAGATGTTCAAGCTGGATTCAGAAAAGGCAGAGGAACCAGAGATCAAATTGCCAACATCTGTTGGATCTTAGAAAAAGCAAGAGAGTTTCAGAAAAAAACTTCCACTTCTGCTTTATTGACTATGCCAAAGCCTTTAACTCTGTGGATTGCAACAAATTGTGGAAAGTTCTTCAAGAGATAGGAATACCAGACCACCTGATCTGCCTCCTGAGAAATCTGTTTGCAGGTCAAGAAGCAACAGTTAGAACTGGACATGGAACAGCAGACTGGTTCCAAATTTGAAAAAGAGTACATCAAAGTTGTATATTGTCACCATGCTTATTTAACTTATATGCAGAGTACATTATGTGACATGCCAGGCTGGATGAAGCACAAGCTGGAATCAAGATTCCTAGGAAAATATCAGTTACCTCAGATATGCAGATGATAACACCTGATGGCAGAAAGTAAAGAAGAACTAAAGAGGCTCTTGATGAAAGTGAAAGAGGAGAATGAAAAAGCTGGCTTAAAACTCAACATTCAAGGTCATGGCATCTGGTCCCATCACTTCATGTCAAATAAATGGGAAAACAATGGAAACAGTGAAAGACTTTATTTTCTTGGGCTCCAAAATCATTGTGGATGATGGCTGCAGCCATGAGATTAAAAGACATTTCCTTCTTGGGAGAGAAGCTATGACCAACCTAGACATCTTATTAAGAAGCAGAGACATTACTTTACTGACAAAGTACGTCTAGTCAAAGCTATGGTTTCTCCAGTAATCATGTACCGATGTGAGAGTCAGATTATAAAGAAAGCTGAGCACCAAAGAATTGATGCTTTTGAACTGTGGTGTTGGAGAAGACTCTTGAAAGTCCCCTGAACTGCATGATATCAAACCAGTCAATCATAAAGGAAATCAGTTCTAAATGTTCTGGAAGGACTGATGCTGAAACTGAAGCTCCAATACTTTGGTCACCTGATGCAAAGAGCCAACTCACTGGACAGGACCCTGTTGTTGGGAAAGAGTAAAGGCAAAAGGAGGAGGCAGCGGAGGATGAGATAGTTATATAGCATCATGGACTCAATGGACAAGAATTTGAGCACTCTAGGAGATGGTGTAGGACAGGAAGCCTGGTGTGCTATATTCCATGGGTTCCAAAGCATTGGACATGACTTAGTGACTGAACAACAACAATGAATCAGTCTTCAGGGATAGATCACTGAATCTGTCATTTTAGACAGATTCTAAATGTGATTCTGATGCCACACACCCAAAATTTGATAAATAATGATGAGAACTGAAAACGTAGTTAAAGAAGGTATTTTATATTAAGTCCATCACTGAGTAAAGTTATGGTAAAAATAAAATAGAAAGGAGACAAAGATGTTTTAGATAAGGATCACTACACTTTAAGTAAGTCAACTCTGCTAAAATGCAACTTTTGTGCAAGAGAGAACAGGAAAAACCACAGGGATTATGGGGGAAATGAGATGAGTGGTACAATATTCAACAACCCCATTAATGATGCAGTTTAAGAAAAACAAGAATTTTTTAAAAACAGGAAGTACATAAATACTACTAAAAAATGATGGAAATTTTCCTTAAAAAACCCCTGAAGTCAACTGCACAATTTATGAGCTATTATGAAATGGTGGTGGGAAGGAGGGCTGTCTGAAATCCGACAAACAGTTGTAATGCCAGATTTGGGTGAGAATAGCTCATCACACACAGTAAACAGAGGCAGCTGATGATGTTTGTGGTGTATGTGCAAGTCTTCCTCAGGCTCAGTTCATCTGGTTCACCTTTTTGCCCTCACAGACAAAATTGCACATAAACAAACTCAAAATTCAGAATACGCTAAAAGTATTCCCTCATACATCAATTTCATTGTAACAAATTTGCATTTTCAACACAGGTGTTGTCACAGAACTGACTGTATCTCATTTCCAAAGTCAGCTGCTGCATTAACTTTCATTTTATAAGTTTTCATTGCTCTTTCTGCCAAGAGCTTTTGTGCCCTTTTTCTTACCAAGGTCTGATAGAGCCTTTTAAAATGAGAAGCCTGAAATCCAAAGGCTTGAGATCTTTGTGCTGCCTTTTGTAGTTTAGTCATGATTCATCCAGGGCAAAGAATCCACCAATATACAGGTGTCCCTTTGAAACTGAGGGAGGGAGGTAACAGCCCCCACCACTTGGAAAGGCTGAACATCCTGCCTCACTGTTGTCCTTCAGGTTGATGTGTGGGTCTTTGGTTGGGGTGAAGGCACTCTAACTGCTACTCTAGTATCTGCCTTTCCTTCTGATTTTTTTCAGGTTCTGGGCATGTCTGTGGTGAACAAGGTAGGTGATATATTTGATATATCTGAATACCTGTGTTTGAGTATAAGTATATTTAAATACAAATTATGCTCCCTGAAAGTACAGTAAGCATAAATGTTCTCTTGATTTGATTCCACAGGAAAGAATCCCAAAATTTAATTAACTAATCCAATTCTGAAGTAAGGATTCCTGAGCCTAATTTAAGACAGAACAAGGAACTTTATTTGGTTATAGGTGGTTTGGAAGTTGACTGTAAACCAGAACAGTGTTCTTAGAACTGTGGGTTATGACCCACCAGTAGATCAGGAAATCAATTTAATATATCTAATAGATCACAACCAGCAATTTTTTGTAATAAAATAAAAGAGGAATAGAAGATAATTTTTGAGAGTTTGATATTGAAACTCCAACTAAAAATCTTAATTTTTCTACTTAAAAAATAATTGTAATATATGGCGAAACTGTATGTTACTTTGCTCTGTATTTTCCAAGTCTCCTGTAAATGTGCTATCATACTTTCATAATTTAAAAAATAAAAAGAAAGAAAAATGATTATATATAGCAATAATAAGTATCACAAAACTTTTATTTCTGTTATGTAATATATATATATATATATATATATGTGGAGGCAGGAGTTGGAGAATGACCATAGTTTCTCAACTTCCCTGCAACTTGGATCTGAGACAGAGGTGAAAATGGCAAAAGAAGCACAGTGTCACTGCTGTCTGGGCACATATTTCAACCATAGGTCAAACATTTGTAGAACTAGGTGCAGTGCCTAAGACCCTGACTTGCATTGTGAGTCATTTTCCTTTAGGACATGGATCTGCAGATGAGTTTTACCAGAAGTATCACAGAGATTGGTATTGCTGTCCAGGATGCTGAGGATGAGAAGTTCAAGTTCTCCTACAAGGAGGTGCTGCTGGGTTACATGCTGGTGAGTGTGCAGGAAGGACATGGGCAAGATCCTGAGAAGTTAATTACGAAGAGTGCAAGTTGTCTTTTTTTTTTTAAGTGGGTAAAACTTGCCAGTCCCTAGGAACAGAACTTTGCCATGGTTCTGCCTGAGGGCACCCAACAGTCCAATGAGGCTTCCACCTCAATACATCTAGAAATTCCCCTAGTCTTCCCTGAGACAGTTCACCACCTTGTCTGTGTTGCAGGACTTCATCAGGGATGAGCCTCTGGATTCCTTGGCCAGCCCTATTCGGTGGAAAGCCTTAATCGCCATCAGATACCTCAGGTAGAGAATTTTTTGTTTCTTCTCATTGATAAAATAAAAATTTCCTCCCCCATATACTAATTCTGATCAACTGACATTGATCAGTGCAGACTTTAGTGCACCTTCACAAAAAGGACACAGTTCATCAATGTGTGCATTTTACCTAAGGTTGCTTCAGTCATGTCCAACTCTGTGTGACCCTATGGACTATAGGCCCCCAAGTTCCTCTGTCCATGGGACTCTCCAGGTAAGAATACTGGAGTGGGTTGCCATGCCCTCATTCAAGGTATCTTCCCAACCCAGGGATCAAACCCATGTCTCTTATGTCTTCTGCATTGGCAGGTGGGTTCTTTTACCACTAATGCCACCTGGGAAGCCCAATTCATCAATAGGTTATTTCAAATAGGAGCTTTTTCTTTTTCCAAAGTGACAGAATTGACTGAGAGCCTGGTCATTTGATGACTGACAGGGACTAGCAAGCTGCTTATAAAAGTCAGATTTATTGATATATGATGACTAAAATTGTGTGAAAATAATTTCTCTTGGCCTATAGGCAAATTTTAATCTTCCCGTTAAAAACTTATGAAAGCCTTAGTCATACCCAGGTTTGGATAGCAGCACTATGCCTGAAGAAAATGATAATTTTAAGCACATTTTAAAAAATAATATTTTCCCCTGCAGTTAAAGAAATAGAAGTTCACTGATAAAACTTGGAAACTGCAGAGAGTCTTTAAAAATAGTAAAAAATCATACCTAAGCCTACCCTATTATCAAAATTTTGGTATATTTTCTTCAATTCTTTATTCCTAATTGTCCATGTTGATTACAGAGCTGAGATTCTGCTCTGCATATAATTTTTATCCTGTTTTTTTTCCTCATCTTATATATTCCCATGTTATTTCCAATTCATCACAAACATCATTCATTTTTCATTAAAGTTTTTATTGTGGTAAAATATACATGTTTATCATCTTAGCCATTTTTAAGTGTACAGTTCAGTAGTATTAAGTACTTTTACATGATTGTGTAACCAATCTCCAGAAATCTTTTCATCTTTCCAAATGGAAGCTCTGTACCCATTAATCAACTCTTCATTTCCTCCTTCCATCAGCCTTGGCAACTACCGCCCTATATTCTGTCTCTGTGAATTTTATACTTTAGATGACTCATGTCACTAGCTTCATATAGTATTTGTCTTTTGATGCCTGACTTATTTTCCTTAGAATAATGTCCTCAAGATCCATTCATGTTGTAGGGTGTATCAGAATTTCATTCCTTTGGATGGCAGAACAATATTCTGTTTGATGTGTATACCGTACTTGGTTAATCCATTTATCTATTGGACATTCATCTGTTGGGGGGTTTTCACATTTGGCTACTGTAAATAATGCTGCTATGAACATAAGTACATAGATATTTCTTCTGGACCCTGCTTTTACTTATTTTGCATATACTCATGCATATACTCATGAGTCAGCCTGTTGGATCAGATGGCAAGCTTGTTTTTAATCTTTTGAGGAACCACCATACTGTTTTTTATAGCAGGGCACTATTTTATATTCACCAACAGTACACAAGTGTCCTAAGTTTTCCATATCCTTGCTGTTACTTTCTGATTTTTGTTTGTTTGTTTTTACAGTAGCCATCCTAATGGGTGTAAGATGGTGTCTCATTGTAGCATGGAGTTGCCTTTCCCAAATGATTAATGACTTTGAGCACCTTTTTATAGGCTTATTGCCTGTTTGCATATCTTCTTGGGAAAAATATTTGATCCTTGTCCATTTTTCTCAGTTCTTTCTCTTTTTTTTTTTTTTTTGAGTTGTAGTTCTTTCTATTTTTATACTTTTCATATTCTTTCTATTCTAGATAAGGTTATTAACCCCTTATCACATATATGATTTGCAAATATTTTCTCTCATTCCATAGGTTGTCTTTTTACTCTATCATTTGTGCCCTTCATGAACAGAAATTTTTAATTTTGACGTAGGCCCATTTGTCTCTTTGTACTTTCATTGTTTGTACTTTTAGTGTCATATCCAAGTAATCATTGCCAAATCCAATATTATTCTCCTCTGAATGGTCTTGGAATGTGTTGAAAATCATTTCACCATATGTACTAGAGTTTATTTCTGGGCTTTCTATTGTATTCCACTGGTTTGTGTGTCTGTTTGTTTATGCCAGTACCATACTGTTTTGATTACTGTGGTTTTGTAATAAGTTTTGAAAACAAAATGTGTGAGATCCCAAACTTTGTTCTTTTTCAAAATAGTTTTGGGTATTTGAGGTCCCTTGAGATTCCATGTGAGTTTTAGGGTGGATTTTTCTATTTCTGCAAAAAGTATCATTGGGATTCTGATAGGAATTGCATTAAATCTGCAGACTGCTTTAGAGGGACATCTTAACAACAATAAGTATTGCAATCTAAATATGAAACACCTTTCCCTTCATTTGTGTCTTCTTAACTTCCTTCAGCATCATTTTGTGTTTTATTTGTGTACAAGCCTTGCACTTTCTTGGTTAAGTTTATTTCTAAGTATTTTATTCTTTTGATGCTATTGTAAATGGAATTGCTAACTCCTTTTTTGATGGCTCATTGTTTTAAGTGTATAAAAATGGAAGTGATTTTTGTGTGCTGATTTTGTATTCTGCAACTTTAAAGAATTTGTTTATTAGTTATAAAATTTTTGTAGATGTTTTAGGATTCTCTATATATAAGATCATGTTATCTGCAAACAGAGATAATTTTACTTTACCTTTCCCGTCTGGATGGCTTTTATTTATTTTTTTTATCTATTGCTCTGGCTGGGACTTGCAGTATTATGTTAAATAGAAACAGCATCTTTGTCATGTTCCTGATCTTAGAGGGTAAGTGTTCAGTCTTTCACCATTGAGCATGATGTTAGCTTATACGGTTTTCATATATGGCCTTTATTATGTTGAGGTAACAAATATTTTAATCACTGCCTCATATCTTGATGCATAGATATGCCTCATATTGTTACCTTCAATTATTAATCAACCTTCTATTGCTACATTTAACTACTTCTTGTTTTTAAAACCTGTAAGTAATACTTTGATGAACATCCTCATGCAAAGAAATGTTCTCTGAACATCTAATTATAAAAACTGACAATTTGGTTCAGTAAATATTATTGAGTTGCCTCCATGTATCAGGCATTGAGCTAGGTTCTAAATGGACAATGTTGAACAAAATATGACCTTTCTCTGAAGGAGTTTTAGCCAACAAAGGGAAATTAATTCAAAACATATCCACATAATTTTTCTAAAATTCAGTAAGAAGCAAAATAAGGGAAAGGCACAAGTTCCCATATTTATAAAGATAAGGGAGGTTTTGAGAAAGTGCAAAGAAATCTTGAAGATGAATTAAGAATTAACCAGGTTCCAGAACAGCATTGTTGAGTAGAAATAAGTATAATACAAGTCACATTTATTGTTTGAAATTTTCTGGTAGCCACTATTAAATATGTAAAAAAGAAACATTAAATCAATTTTAATAATTATTTTAATCTAATATATCCAGTATATTACTTCAACATGTATTTAAAATAAAGAATTAATAAGATGATTTACATGATTTTCATACTACATCTTCAAAATCCAGCGCATCTTACAATTACAGTGTATTTTAAATCAAACCAGCAACAACTCAAGAGTTCAATAGCCACATGTACCTAACGGCTTCCCTCATATGGACAGGACAACTGTAGAACTTGAAGACTAATGATAGAAAGCAAATCAGTGGTTACCTTGGGCCAGGGTGGAGGAACAGATGAACTGCAAAGATGCATCAGGAAAAACTGGGGACTGATAGCAATGTTCTATATTGATTACAGTGGTAGTTTCATGAGTGTGAAATTTATTTGATTGCACACTTTAAATGGATGCAGCTTGTTGTGCATAAATTATGCCTCAGTAAGTGGATATTTTTACATAGCCAGCCAGACAATAAGGATGAGAAGATTGCACACTATATATCAACACATTTAATAGTCAATAAAGCTGTCGCAGCTTTATTGACTTTTACTTCTCTGTGAAAGTGAAAGTGAAAATCTGTCAGTCGTGTCAGACTCTTTGCAACCCCGTGGACTGTAGTCCATGGACTTCTCCAGGCCAGAATACTGGAGTGGGTAGCCCTTCCCTTGTCCAGGGGATCTTCCCAAATCAGAGATCAAACCCAGGTCTCCCGCATTGCAAGCAGATTCTTTACCAGCTGAGACATACAGAGAACCAATTTCACCCTTCTCTGACAGTGTCATCATTTTTTATTTCTTTGCTAATTTTGTTGTGGACAAACAGTGTTGTATTGTCTTAACTTACATTTATTTAATAACAAATGGAGTTTTTCATATTTATTGAATACTTACATTTTCCTAAGTTATGTCCAGGTTTCTTTATATCCTCGGGATGTCTATACTATATGTCAGATAGTGAAAAAAGGAAAAGGAAGTTTCCAGTGTCATATAAACACTCATGTGTTTATAGGTGGTGGTTTAGTCACTAAGTTGTGTTCCATTCTTGCAACTACGTGGGGAGTAGCCACCAGACTCCTCTGTCCATGGGATTTCCCATGAAAGAATAGTGGAGGGGGTTGCTCTTTCCTTCTCCAGGAGATCTTCCCCACCCAGGGATCAAACCTGTGTCTCCAGCATTGCAGGTGGATTCTTTCCAGACTGAGCGACCAGGGACTACATATGACATGAGAGGACATATGAAATTGATAAAACTCACTGCTCCAAACTTAGAATCTCTCTTCTCTCTCTCAATCACAAACACACACACACACACACACACACACACACATACTCATAACTTGAGTGCTGAAAAAAACAAGTAGATAAATGCTAGATCATATAATAAAGGGTTAAGTAATGCCAAGCAAGTGATGGTTTGTTTATCATTGTAACAAATTAGACCTACAGTCTGGTTTTATGTCCCCAATCTCTCTCTACTCCTGTTACCATCTCCCTCAACACTGCATTCCCATCAGAAATGCATCTGACCCCTTCAAGCCCCTTCAGATCCTCAGTTCTCGGGAACTCAACTGAGATATGTGTTGTTTGGTGATATAATATCCACTCCTTCAATTGGTTCTCATTTCAGTAAACTGAAACCTCAACTCTCGCTGAATGAACATCTTAATATTCTTGAGGAGAATATTCGAAGGCTGCTGCCCCTTCCACCTCTGGAAAAACTCAAAAATGAGGGTGAGACGGACAAAGACAAGGAGCACATCCAAGTATGTGGGGGCAAAGCTGGAGGAGGGTGAAGAGCCAGGTAGAATGAATGAACTTGAATGAACACGCTGCCCTCAGCCTCACTCACACTCATTTCAATTTCAGTTTCTCTACGAACGATCCATGGATGCTCTCGGAAAGCTGCTGAAGACCATGATGTGGGATAGCATGAAAGCAGAGGACTGCCAAGAAATGTTTAATGTGAGTAGGTCCCATGGACCATAACCTGTGCTCCAGGGCACCCCCCAAACTCAGCCTTGTCCAGGGGACTTGTCCAGCCTGACCCACCAGCCCCCGACCAATACCACAGAGCCAGCCCACTTACACAGTGTTTGTGGGGAGGCCAGCACCTTATTCCAGAAGAGGCAGACTGAGAGTGAGAGAACAAGAGGGGATGAATATGAAGGTTACTAAGGAAAGGAGATCAATATTTCCAATATGCTACTGGAGATCAGTGGAGAAATAACTCCAGAAAGAATGAAGGGATGGAGCCAAAGCAAAAACAACACCCAATTGTGGATGTGACTGGTGATAGAAGCAAGATCCGATGCTGTAAAGAACAATAGTGCATAGGAACCTGGAATATTAGATCCAAAATCAAGGCAAACTGGAAGTGGTCAAAGAGGGGATGACAAGAGTGAACGTTGATGTTCTAGGAATCAGCGAACTAAAATGGACTGGAATGGGTGAATTTAACTCAGATGACCATTATATCAACTACTGTGGGCAGGAATTCCTTAGAAGAATTGGAGTAGCCATCATAGTCAACAAAAGAGTCCAAAATGCAGTACTTGGATACAATCTCAAAAATGACAGAATGATCTCTGTTCGTTTCCAAGGTAAACCATTCAATATCACACTAATCCAAGTCTATGCCCCAACCAGTAACACTGAAGGAGCTGAAGCTGAACAGTTCTATGAAGACCTACAGGACCTTTTAGAACTAACACCCCAAAAAGATGTCTTTTTCATTATAGTGGACTGGAATGCAAAAGTAGGAAGTCAAGAAACACCTGGAGTAACAGGCAAATTTGGCCTNATGGACAAGGGTTTGGGTGAACTCCGGGAGTTGGTGATGGACAGGGAGGCCTGGCATGCTGCAGTTTATGGGGTCGCAAAGAGTTGGACACAACTGAGCAACTAAACTGAACTGAACTTTTACTCTTTGACCAACAGCTTCTCCGAATGTGGCTTGTCTCACAAAAAGACTGGGAAAGAGAGAGAGCCTTCCAGATCACCTCGAAAGTGCTGACAAATGATGTCAAGGTGAGTAAGCCCCTGGAATGGGTGGATGTCATTGCTTGCTAACAGCAAGGACCTTGGAGGCCGCTGGAATCCAAAACTCCTGTGTGATGGATCTCCCGTCCAGGCAGAGTTTTCCCAGAGAACCACCTGAGATCTGCCCCAACCCACAGCACTGTGAGTACAAGCACGGGGTGGCTGAGGGGTTCTGGGGGGTGGGGGGTGGGGATTAGGGGGAGGAGAGTGAAGCGATTCAGTTGTCTTTGCTTGCCTGTCCGCTTGGAAAGTCCGAGATTCCATTTTATTCTAAGGATCTGCATGGAGAAAACAAGGACTTAATATCCAGTGTTGGGACTATCCTGGAACATCATCAAGCCACCCCATCACCTCGGGATCCTCCTTTATCCTGCAGGCACCAGAGAATTTTAAGATCGGCTCACTCCTCGGCCTCCTGGCTCCTCACTCCTGTGACACCCTGCCCTCCATCCGCCAGGCTGCTGCTAGTTCGGCTGTTGGTCTGTTCTGTATAAAAGGTGAGGGAAGGATGGGAACCTCACAGATGCAAAGATACCTGTTTTCATTTTTATCAGCTTTTCTCTTTGTATATCTCTGTCTCTCTCCTTCCTCTCTTTCTCTCTTTCTTTCTCCTCCCTTAGTTCAGTCATTTCTGAGTGATGTCACACAATTTCTCTCTCTCTCTTAGATCTTTTTTCTTCAGTGGCTCTGCTTTTTTGTTTTCTTTAAAAATAAAGATAATAGCACCAAAGCATCATAAAGATCCATTAAAACAGGTAAAATGTTTTGAGAGTGTCTGATTTAAATCACACACCAATTGGGCATATTAGCAAAGCTTTTTCTACCACACAGTTTTCTTTCAGAGGAAATCATACTATTATCCTGGTGCTAAGTGAATTTCAGAGTTCTCTAAGAGAGAGAACTTTGTGGAGGTTTTTGTAGCTTGCATAGCAGGACCTATGCCTGCTCTGCCAGGATGTGTAAATACCTATCAATGTCGGGAAATAGAAGGAATTTTAAAACCTCTGTATCAGGCTGAAACCAACACTCAGGGCTTCCTGATTAAATCAGGATCGGGATGGGGAATACATGTAAATCCATGGCTGATTCATGTCAATGTATGACAAAAACCACTACAATATTGTAAAGTAATTAGCCTCCAACTAATAAAAATAAATGGAAAAAAAATCCAGACTAAATCAGCACGTGTTTTGCCAAGGTGGAACCTGCCTTGCGTACAGTTCCCTCCAGACCAGGTGCAGCCTGGATCCCTCAGCCAGCTTGACAGCCACTCATGCCTACACTAGACTCTTCGTTTTTTTAGGTGTAGCATTAAGAGTCTAGATTGACGGGAGAAATATTAATAACCTCAGATATGCAGATGACACCACCCTTATGGCAGAGAGCGAAGAGGAACTAAGCCTCTTGATGAAGGTGAAAGAGGTGGTTTAGCCACTAAGTTGTGTCCGACTCTTTAGACCCCATGGACTATAGCCCGCCAGGCTCCTCTATCCAAGGAAGTCTCCAGGCAAGAATACTGGAGTGGGTAGCCTATCCCTTCTCCAGGGGATCATCTCAACCCAGGAATCAAACCCTGGCATCCTGCATTGCAGACAGATTCTTCACCAACGAGCTACAGAGGAAGCCCCTAGGGAAATATTTGAGCGCCTTTTTCTGTGTCAGGCACTGTTCTGATGCTGGAACACAAAGATATAACAATTCTAAATTTGCATGCTAAAAGTGTGTAAAAGACAGAAGGTGCAATTTGGTTAAGGGCAGGTGATAGAGTCAGTCAATAGGGGAAAACTATTCAGCAGAACCTGAATAGATCTGACAGTCCCTTGGGATTTGGGAAGATAATTTATGAAGGGTGTATGATTTTATCAAAGCCAGAAAACAAATGAATTAAGGGGTGCGAATTAAAGGACCATTCTAATAAGACGAGAAATGTACCACAAAAGGACCTCATAGGAAAAAAGGAATTCTGTTATTGTTCTTCCTGGTCTTCCTTTGTTGTTGTTCATGTCCGACTCTTTGTGACCCCATGGCCTACAGCATGCCAGGCTTCCCTGTCTTTCATCATCTTCTGGAGCTTGCTCAAACTCAACTGAGTTGGTGATATCATCCAACCATCTCGTCCTCTGTCATCCTCTTCTCCTCCTGCCTTCAATCTTTCCCAGCATCAGGGTCTTTTCCACTGAATCAGCTCTTTGCATCAGGTGGCCAAATTATCGGAGCTTCAGCTTCAGCATCAGTCCTTGCAGTGAATATTCAGGATTGATTTCCTTTAGGATTGACTGGCGTGATCTCTTTGCAGTCCAAGGGATTCTCAAGAGTCTTCAACACCACAGTTCAAAAGCATCAATTCTTCGACGATCAGTCTTCTTTATGGTCCAACTCTCATATCCATACATGACTACTGGAAAAGCCATAGTTTTCATTATATGGACCATTGTCGGCAAAGTAATGCCTATTTATTAATATGCTGTCTAGATTTGCCACAGCTTTTCTTCCAAGGAGCAAGTGTCTTTTAATATCATGGCTTCAGTCACCATCTGCAGTGATTTTGGAGTCCAAGAAAATAAAGTCTCTCACTGTTTCTATTGTTTCCCCGTCTATTTGCCATGAACTAAGGGGACTAGATGCCATGATCTTAGTTTTCTGAATGTTGAGCTTTAAGCCAATTTTTTCACTCTCCTCTTTCACTTTCATCAAGAGGCTTTTTAGTTCATCTTCACTTTCTGCCATAACGGTGGTGTCATCTGCATATCTGAGGTTATTGGTACTTCTCCTGGCAATCTTGATTCCAGCTTGTGCTTCNCTAGGTGAGTGATCACACCATCGTGGTTATCCAGGTCATGAAGATTTTTTTTTTGTATAGTTCTTCTGTGTATTCTTGCCAGTTCTTCTTAATATCTTCTGCTCCTATTAGGTCCATGCCATTTCTGTCCTTTATTGAGCCTCTATTTCTCTGCATTTTTCACTTAGGAAGAGTTTCTTATCTCTCCTTGCTATTCTTTGGAACTCTGAATTCAGATAGTTTTATCTTTCTTTTTCTCCTTTGCCTTTTGCTTCTCTTCTTTTCTCAACTATTTTAAGGCCTCCCACACAATCATTTAGCCTTTTTGCATTTCTTTTGCTTGGAGGTGATTTTGATCACTGTCTCCCATACAATGTTAGGAACCCCTGTCCATAGCTCTTTAGGCGCTCTATCAGATCTATATTTCTCCCTTTAGGTTCCTTTATTTTCCTGAAACATACAAAGTTCCAAGTTCTTAAATATTCTTTGTTAGCAGGAAATACCATACTTCATTATTCATGTTAACTCTTTTTCCTGGTTGATCAAATAAACATGGTAGAGAGAGAAAGAATATGATCATTAAATTAAATATACTCGATACAAGTAACTAGTGTTTTACTGAATTAAATGCCCACTTAATATTTGTGGATGTTGTTCAGCCCATTGTTAATGCAGATAATAGACCAGAAATTGAGAAATTTACCAGTTGCTTGGACAACTGAAAGCAGTGAAGCTGGACTTTGAGCCCAGGTCCTCCACTCATGAGGCTAAGCTACCTCCCAGAGAATGATTCAGGTGTGTTTCCACCAATTACTAACTCCAAACAACAAACAGAAAATCATTACCATTGAGGTCTGCATTGCAAGTCCATATCAACAATCACACAATTGCAATGATTACAATGATTACCTTACCATTCCCTTCAACAGAAGCTCACTGCAGAATAGAACTCCACCAGAGCCAGCAGTAGAGCAGAGTAGCAAGAGCCTCGGCAGTGGTGTCAGACCAGGGTTCAAGTTCCAACCCTCTATTTTCACTCCCTGCGTGACCTGGCCAAATGACTTTACATCTCTCTGTGTCAGTTTTCTCAACTGCAGATAACCTCAGATGATCTCTAGGAGTAATAAATGAGATGAGAGTATTTAGCATGCTTTCAGCATGCAGAAACTCCTCAATCAGTGTCTGCTCTTATGCTCATCAGAGAGGCTTTCATGTGTTTGTTAAAGGCATCCAGCAGCTGAATTAGTGTCACATCAAAATATAAACCATCTCTTCAACCCCTTTCAGCTCTTTGAACTCCCATGTCACCCTTTGTTGATTGTAGGTGTTCACCTGGAAGTAGAAAGACTACAGGATTTGCAGGAAGGGCTGCAATGTGATGATGTGCAGGTCCAGATCAAGATTTCCTCCAAAATAGCAAAGGTAATAGATGTGGAGAACTGATCAAGGGACATAAGGATGATTCTGGGTTGATTTTCAAATGAGTCAGCTGTATACGCTCCTCTACCAAGGAGGGCAAACAGTCTAGTCATTCTAGTGAAATAAAAGTCTTTTGTCCATTCATTATATCTGGGTCCATGTATACAGGCAACACCTGCTAATCTCATTTCAAACTCTGCGAAACCTAGGGAACCATGCAGCCCTCTCGAGGTGAAGGAGGCAGTAGGGTAAAATGGGAGAAATGGGCATTGGAGTCAGTCAGATGTATTCTGTGTGCACCCCTTGAAGTGTGCGCGCTATGTGATCCACTTCCTCATCTTAAAAAAATGCATAACCTCCCTCTCAGAGCTGCTATGAGAATTGGTCAATCAATTCATTCATTTATTCAGTCACTTATTCATTCACCACATGTGCCCTGTGCATCTACCATGTGCCAGGCTATTTTCCAGGATCTTAGGATAGAAATGCCTGCCATCATTGAGTTTATGTCCTAGTAGATGGAGCAGTGAAATAAATCTGATGTCAGGTAGTGAAGAAGTGAGAAACACAAAGTCAAGGAAGGGAATAAAGAGTAAGGTGGGGGCAGATCCCCTGGGGATCACAACTCTGAAAAAGAGAACCACCAAGATATCTGGTAAGAACATTCCAGGCAAAGCAGGGAACAGTATGTGCAAAGGCCCTGAGGTGGAGAAAGAAGTGGGTCATGAGATCCAAGAGATAGCCCACAGCTGATTGAAATGCCTTCCAGGCCTTATTAAGAACCTTGGTTTCACTCTAATAAAAATCAAAAACCAGCAGAGGGATTTGAACAGAAGAGTCAAAACCACTACGTACAATGTGGCAGGTATGAAATGTACAACTTGTGTGAGACAGCATTATTCCTAATGCAGACACTATGGATTTATATGTATACTATGGTAATTACCCACTGAGGGCAGTAAACAACAAAATTGGCCATTAGGACAATAACAGAGAAAAGGGTATTTTCTTGAGAACAAACCATTTTTCCTGATTTGCAAAACTCCATATGGGCTAGTGGTGGTTCTGTGAGGAAGAATATGATACCACTTTGTTTCTGAAGGGTCACCTGGCTGCCATGTTGAAACTAGACATAGGCTGGCAAGAGTGAAACTAGTGAGGTCAGTTTGGAGGAAACTTTAAGAATCCACATGCGAGCTCAGGTGGCTTGGACTAAGGAGGCGGCAGCAGGGACAAGAAAGTGAGGAGTATACAGGAGAGAAACTCGTGGGGGCACAGGGAGAGAAAACAGGTCCGGTGCCTAAGACAGTGTCTGATGCACGAGAAGTGTCCAAAACATGACTGCCCTTCCTTCCTTTATTCCTAAGCCAATATCGTCCCAATATGAGAAAGAAAAAAACACAACTGTGGAGCTTGGACCCAGGCAGACATTTGGTGCTCCGTAGAACAGACACACGAGTCTAGGCCTTGATCTTAGAGCCATGGTAACTCAGAATCCAGCTACTCATGAAAAGGAATCCATGTCCTCTCAAAGATTGTTCTACCACACATCACTGGGCCATTTAGTACAGAGGGAATTCAGTTGTGAATAGGAATGTTTTCATACCCACAAACTCATAACCATGACCTTCTTGTTTGCTTGAGACCCCAGATATTGCTTCTGCAATTTATTCAGACTGCTAACTTTTCACCTCCCCTGCCTGCCTTTTCATTCACACATACACAGAGGCATATACAATCAAACATTCTGTATAATTATTGTCTAGAGACAAAAATTGCAAAGTCTTATTTTCTTGACCTTTTGTTGACTACTCAATATTGAAACACACAAAAGCAAAAGACAGGGTTCATCTTAATTCACCCTCCATTTGGATACTGTGAGGCACAGACTATTTAGCCAGGCACTTAGTACTTGGTGATAGGTTTCCTGAATCCTCAAGCCTAGCTACTAGCTACTCTTTGGCAGACACAAGACATTTCTATGATAGATGAAATGTATATGAAAGTACTTGACAACATTTAAATCACCATTTATGCATTATTTTTCCTTTATGGGGCATATTGTAAATTCAGGTTTGGAGAGGAAATTGCCTTGGAAGACCTAGAATTTAATAAATATGAAATGATTTTTAAAAAGCAACTTCAAGGAAAGTTTTACTTAGACTGAAAGGCCGTGTCTATGTCCTATTTTAGTATTTTCTCTAGTTTCTGTGACCTCAATCATACGCTAACTCTTTGGAAAGTCCAGTGGTTCCTAATATCCTAAAACAAAGGACAGCATGTTTTGGGTGTCCAGATAGGAAATGAGGGGCTTGGTTACATGAGTTTTTCTGGGTCCAGATATGAAGTGAGGGGTTGGTGACATGAGTCTTTCCGGGTCCAGATATGAAGTGAGGGGTTGGTGACATGAGTCTTTCTGGGTTCAGATATGAAGTGAGGGGTTAATGACATGAGTCTTTCTGGGTCCGTTCTCAGATTGTCAGTAAACTCATCCCCAGTGAAGAAGTGCTCATGTTCCTGGAGGAAACCCTGGATGGTCTGGAGAGCCTCAACCCCTCATGTACAAAGGCCTGTGGCGTCTGGATGATCACCGCCCTGAAGGAACAGGGAGCTACTTTGGAAGACCAGGTGAACTGACAGCCAGTCTGACAACTACTGAGCACGATTTTAGCACTTCTGAAATGCTAGTACCAGAAGCAGGCCATCACTGCTCAGTTGGTCCTCTGATGAGTCACAGGCAAGAGCATACACAGCCTCAGGAGGCCTCAGCAGAGACCCAAGTTGTGTATGAGCAACCAGGCTCAGGCGGAGGGCCCACCTCAGCCTGACTCAATTGCCTCTCTAGTCTGTGTTGATGAGCACTTTCCAAGCTGCCACTCTGGCCAGAGGAAGAATATCTGAACCAGAAGCATGTGGGGTGTGGAAAACTGGGTTGTAAGATCTGCAAGCATAAGACTGATGTGAAACTTTGAGATGGCCACTGAGGGCCAGGCGGGTTTTCTAACTCACTGCCACCCTGTGAGCTGCTCTTTAACACCCTTTAGGTATTTTCTGATAAAGAAGGTGATCCTCGAAGAATTGACTAAAAGAAAAGTCCTCAATCCTTCCTCCCAACTAGAGAATTAAGCAGAAAGAATTGGATTTAAATTCAGGAAGTCTGGTTAAGAGCTTCAAATGGATATGCTGTCTTCTCTCTCCTAAAGTCAGAATCAAAATATTAGCAATTCAGAGATCAATGATGAGGAAAAGAATTTTTAACGCAGAAAGGCTTCCTTCCCAAAGGTAACAGGAGGAAGAAGTCATGGTCCCCAGAGCCCGGAGTTAATCATCCTAAATTAAAGAATTCTCCAAAGCCTGACTTTTACAAATGACCTCTGTTCTAATTACTGTCCAGTCATTTGTTTGTTTGTTTGTTTTCAAAAACATTTATTGAGTCTATACTCTGTGGCAGGCCCTAGGCCAGTCTTGGGGAAATGAAAAGTTAATAAATTTAGAATATCCATGTGTTTGTGTGTTAAACATAAAAGGGGAAGTTGTTCACATGCTAGGTAAAGGCTAGGGACCTAAATGTTTTCCAAGAATCACTAGTATGGGACTATGTGATAATCAGGCTTGCAGGATATTTATGATTAAGGAATTACAATTCCATGAAAAATGTTATATTTAACCTAAAAATGTCTATCCAAAGTAAACAAGAGAAGTATCTACTGGATGCAAAGTTGCTTTAGCATAGAGACATGTCCTAATCCATGCCAAAAATCCAAATGCATGATATCATTCCCTACTGCACACAGACTAACACCCGAATTCAGAAAGGTGGCCCTCAATGCCCTTTCGGATTCAGCTTTGTCTTTTCTATCAAGTTATCCTCCTCTTTTTTCTCACCTTCATTCTTTCTGTGCTCCAAACTGAACCAGTCTCCTATTCCATAAAGCTTTTCTACATCTGCTTCTACCAGGCTTCCATGTAGTTTTTATATAGATTATACCTTTTAAAGCCATTAGGTTCACAGTAAAACTGAGCAGAAGTTAGAGTTTCAGTACACCTCCTACCTCAGCACTTCCAACATCCCACACCTCAGGTTACATTTGCTACAATTGATGAATCTACATTGACCCATCCTATAATCACCCAAAGCCCACAATTCACACTAGGGATTTCAGTTTTGGTGTTGACAGATGTATAATGACATGTATCCAATAGCGGAGGATAGATTAGCTTCACTGCTCTCTGAACCCTCGGTGTTCTATTTGCATTTTTACCTGTCTTGTTCCTTCTGATGATTCCTTTCCTCGCCATCTCCACCTTGCCTTTTGGAATTGGTATATATCCTTTGAGACCCAGACCAGACGTGGCTCCACAGTGACCTCAGTTACTTCTGGATTCCCCTATCAGTCCCGTGAATCTCTTGTACACCATTTGCCATACACAGTTTTGTGCACAAGCCTTTGGATGTAAAGCTGAAGTCCTTTATGAGATGACTCAATCCTTTTGAGAAAGGACTACATCTTATGCAACCCTGGTAAATCCCCCACAGTGGCTAACTCAGCACACCTGGCACAATGCTGCCTTTTACTAAATGTTTGCTAGACTGTTTTAAGGATAAATGCCTAATTTATCAGTAATTGTCCTGAGCAAGAGACAGGTCATGTGTAGAATCAATCACTCCCTTAACATTATTTCTAATTCATCAATCACCACCCACAACTTGCTGACTGTACATGACCTAAGCCAACCACGTCAAGGAAAAATGGTGATTCACTGATTGAATTGGCTTTTTCTTTTTAGCTGTTGGAGATCTTGGGCATAATTTACCATCACATGCCGGTCCTCAGACAAAAGGAGGACAGTTTTCAATTTATGCTGGAAGCCGTCTCTCAGATTGCCAGCTTTCACATGGACGCAGTGGTTGCCAACCTTTTACAGAAGCCTCTGCCCTTTGACAGGTAGAGTCAAACTAAGCCTTTTCCCAGGGAAGACCCCTCTGTAAGGCACTGGAGAAGAATTTCTGGTTTGAGAGAAAGATAGCAAACAAAAGTTGAAAACATCTCACCTGACTAATTTCAGAAACAGTGCTTAAATCACAGGTAATGGTTTTCCAAGTATTTTTCAAATATATGTCCTCATTGGATGATGAAAATTTTAGGTATGTGTATATGTATGTGTGTGTGTGTGTATTTAAAATAGGAGTAAGTGAGTTTTAGAAAGTAATTATTTCTCCCCTTTCTGGTTGCTGAGAATGCATCTACATGAGAGGTTTCTGTCTTGATGGATATTAACAAACCACAGCAACCCAAGACTCGAATGCTAGGTTATTAAATAAAGCATCTTTATTATCCTCAGGCATGTTGGCATGTCCACTCGTCCCCGCAATTGTGATTAGTCATAATCACAATGTGATTTTAGAGTGGATCCAATGGAAAAGCGCATCTCCCAAGGAGTTGAGCCTCATCAGCTTCCTGCCTTCCTTCCCTAGGGACACAAAGACACTGTGGAAATCTCTGGCTGAGAACTCAGCTTCCAGTGGCAAACTCTTGCGAGCCTTAGTCGACAAACTGGAGAACGAGCTAGAAGATGACCTAGCTGGGATAGAGGCGATATCTGTGAGTTGGACAACCCGACACATCTGAGCTGTCCCCACCTGGCGCTGGGCGGTGCAGCATGAATCACACTTCTTCCCCTCTTATACTCTGGTTTTAAATCGACTCCAGTTTGTACTGGACAATCACGGCAGTGGTATGGCAATGACTTTGTCTGTGGCTGATCATGTTTAGAAGCCAATTTCTCATCAGCCCAAGGAAAATCTGTGCCTCTGTTTTCAAATTATCCTTCAAGACATCTAATTGTTGTCAAAAGACCCTAAGCCTACCTGATGGTGCTGACTAGACTTTGGAGTCACCCCACACGGGAGCCTTGAGAGAAAAACACAGCCTGAGTTGAGAAGTTTCCAGAAAAATAAACCCTCCGTTTTCTCCCTTTTCTGTGTGTTTTTACCACAAGTGTGGTCCACCTGGGAAGCAATCCTGTGGAGGGACAACAGCCTGGAAGGTCAGCCCCGCCTGACACGAGACCCTTCCTCCCCGCAGGTGGCCTGTGCCATGTATGAAGTGGTGTCCACGGGCACCCCTGTCGGGAGTCTGTACCCGGAGCTGTTCGCGCTTCTCCTGAAGCTGGTCAGCTGCACGCTCGGTCAGAAGATGCCCACCTCCGCCCTCAGCCGCCGGCGGCGGGTGATGCCGCAGGGCGAGCAGCAGCAGATAGCTGACCCCTGCAGGTAAACGGCCAGGCAGGAGGGCCTTCTGGAGACATCCTGACCTGAGACTCCAGAAAAGGGCCTGGCATGGCCTCAACTATCCATGAAGAAAAAAGGTCCCGCCATCTCTGAGTCTCATAGCTCTTCCCGAAGCTGGTACCCAGGCGCTGTTGTCCAGAACAGTCTTAAAAGCTGCAAATCCTTTTCTCTAGAGTGCCCCATCCACTTCCTTTGTCTTCTTGCCTTGAAACCTTTCAAGGAAAGTTGGAATTCTGTAATATTCAAGGCAGGTGGCACTAGTGGTAAAGAATCTGTCTCCCAACGAAGGAGACTGCCAATGCAAGAGATGCAGGTTCAATCCCTAGTTTGGGAAGAGCCCCTGGAGAAGGAAATGGGACCCACTCCAGTATTCTTGCTCGGAAAATTCTATGAATTGAGGGTCCTGGGGGACCCCAGTCCCTGGGATTACAAAGAGTCCAGCACGACTGAGTATACACATATACACCATACAAGGAAAAAATAAATATCATATTTCCTCAAATCTAAGACTTCATCAATTGAAGGAAGCAATATTATTTCATGAACCATTGAAAAAGGTAAAAAAGAGTCCCAATTAAGTCATAAATTAGTGCTTTCTTAAACTATTAAATTCGTATTTTATATTGTTCCATAGAGCTCTTGAGGATTATTAGGTATAGATTTTTATCCTGTAACACATTGCTCTGCTTCCCTGTTCTCTTGCCTAATTTTATTCCAAAGTCAAACCAACCTATTAAAGGGCATTTTAAAGAGCAGTTAGACCCAGTGAGCATGCATGTTGGGAGGGTGGGCAGGGGGTTGGGTCTGCTTGCTTGCCCGTGCAGGCTCATGCACTCAGTCACTCCCATCTGACTCTTTGTGAACCCACAAACTGTGTAGCCCACCAGGTTCCTCTGTCCATGGAATTCTCCAGGCAAGAATACTACAGTAGGTTGCCATTCCCTTCTCTAGGGGATCTTCACGACTCAGGGACTGAACATGGGTCTCCTGCATCACAGGCAGATTCTTTATCATCTGAGCCACAAAGCAGGCAGTTAGGCTCAGCACATGTACATACATGCATATAACTTTAGTAAAATACCTATAGCTCTAAGCATGCATGTGTGCATGCTAAATCATATCAGTCATGTCCCTCTCTTTGCAACCCTATGTAGCCTGCCAGGCTCCTCTGTCCATGGGATCCTCCAGGCAAGGATACGGGAGTGGGTGGCCAGGTCCTCCTCCAGGGACAGCTCAAACAGCCATTCCTAAATCTGTTTGTGTACACGAATTGTATACACAATCAATAGAGACTGCATCACAACTACTGTTTGGCCAACAATTGCAATGCACTATCCATTGAGAGATGCAACCTGGTTTCCAAGGTGCTGTGTTTAAACCACTCAAATACAGTATTTCACACTTTCTATCCTCAGGGCTTGATTTTCTCAGGAGAGGTTAAGATTTTGTGGGATTATTGACTGACTTCCGGACATGTCAATATCCCCTGTGGCCCCAACACCAAAGTGTGAGATCAAGGCTGCCTGTGTTTTCCTTGCACAGCCTCCATTCATTCAGGAGTAAGGGACCATTGTGGGGAACATTTTTTTTTTTAAACAAACAAAATGTGTTATATGTATTCTGTAGTATATAGTGGTTATAAGTAACCATATTCATAGACATCAATATAGAGCACCAAGGTATAATATGTGAAAATACAGAATACAGACAACTTGATGATATTTATTATGGATTATGGACTTGGGGGCTTAACAATTCCCTGCCCAGTGTGGATTTATTTTATGATGCCAACTGTCTCTTTCAGGCTCTCAACTACAGCTCTGAAGTGTGTGCAGGCCCAGGCCATGAGAGAAGGGCTGACCAAAGAATCTGATGAGGGAGACAACGTGTGGAGCCTCCTCAGCAGCCCCAATACCCACCACATAGGAGTCTGTGCACTGGCCAGGTAATGTTCAGATACTCCAAAACTAGATACCAAAGAAAAAACTGAAAACAAAGTGAAAATGCAGTGCAGGCAACTTCACTGAAAGCCATTGAGCCACCAAGGACTTAGAGTCAAGGAGAAAAAAAAGAAAAACAGAGGAAAAATCAAAGGGGATTGGGAAGACATGGTAGGATCAGCTCCAAACCCAGCAATTCCTCAAAAAACTTTGATACAAATGAACAGTTTTAGGCAAACTACACTTTAGAGTTTGAGTAAACTCCGGGAGTTGGTGATGGAGAGGGAGGCCTGGCATGCTGCAGTCCATGGGGTCGCAAAGAGTTGGACACGACTGAGCGACTGAACTGAACACTTCAGTCAGGTACTTAGATAGGGTGTTACAAAATTTAAGGCTTGGTGCTCTTTCTTTGTTAACATCCCTTTTTAAAATAATTTATTTTCCTGATAGAGAAATAGACTAAAGTGTCTTCCATTGTTTAGAAAGAAAAAAGTCTCCGCTACAATGGGAGCCTTGGTTTTCTAGGAGCATGGCCGTGTGGCAACATGGAATCATACTGAACATCACAGAACAACTCCTCCCATCCCTGACCTCCTCCTCGGAGAACTACCGGATAACGGGCACCACTTTCTTCTCTGAGGCAAGCCATCCCAGCAGGCTCGTTGGGTCCCTCGGGGTATCTCTCTCAGGAGTTCAATGGGAACCAGAGCTGCAGAAGAGGGAGCTTCACTGGGAGCTGTGGGAGTGAAGAGGCCCAGTGACTGCCAGGGGTACAGTACCTGAGCAGAGGGAGAAGGGAAAAAGAACCCAGGCTTGTCCTCTTCCTGCCCTCTGGTCTGTAGACATCAACCTCCAAAGCAGAGAAGGATAGAGTAGTAACCTGGAAAAGACAAAACAAAATATAACCAACAAATATATCAATACTACAGTCCTTCCACGCTCTGGGGTAAAGGCTGGCCCAGCCAGTCCAGAGAAATAACATCATCAGTTACTCCTGTTTTCCATGCTCCGTTTTCCCATTTAGATTAGAATTATCTTTTTAACTGGGCTTCCCTGGTAGCTCAGCTGGTAAAGAATCTGCCTGCAAGGCAGGAGACCCCAGTTCGATTTGTGGGTTAGGAAGATCCCCTGGAGGAGGGCATGGCAACCCACTCTAGTATTCTTGCCTGGAGAATTTCCATGAACAGAGGAGCCTGGCAGGTTTTATTCCATGAGGTCGCAAAGAGTCGGACACAACTGAGCGACTAAGCACGTGCATGTTTCTTAACTAGGTGTTTTGGTTCTCATCAGCTCATAACCTTGACCTGTGGGTTGCTCACCGATAGAGCTTAGTTCCTGCCAGTTTTGAATATTCACCCAAGGCGTCTTCTTCTGCTCCACAAGCAGCTGGGTCCCTACCCTTTCATCATAGCTGTGATGCCTTCAGAACTCTCCTGAAGGGAGGCCCTTCCCTCAAATAAAGGGGAGAAGTATGTCATTTTCAGCTCATGAAGGAGCCAATCCTTTGGAAGCATGGGAATCTACGCGATGTGCTTGTTCTGATGGATCAGAGCGCCTGGGACTCCAACCCCATCCTGAGGCAAATGGCCATCCGGGGTCTCGGGAATACAGCTTCTGGAGCCCCTCACAAGGTAATGGGGGTTGGGGAGGGACAAAAAGTAGTTCATCTAAGTAGAGTTAGGGGCTTCCCAGGTGGCTAAATGGTAAAAAAAAAAAAAAATCCATCTGCCAATGCAAGAGACACAGGAGACACTTTCCATCCCTGGGTTGGGAAGATCCCCTGGAGAAGGAAATGGCAACCCACCCCACTATTCTTGCCTGGAAAATCCCATGGAGAGGAGCCTGATGGGCTACAGTCCATGCAGTTGCAAGGAATTGGACCCAACTGAGCATGCATGCACACAAGTAGAGTTTTAAAATAATTATTTAGTAACCCATACCCCATGGTTACACATGGGGTAACCATGTATGCTAATTTCAGAATTTAAGTGAAAATCCAAATAAGTTACTGAACTAGTGGCTCTTGGGTTGAAGGATCTGTGACCTTAACAGAATGTCAGTCCCCTTGTCTGGGGTCTCCTACCCTATTCCAGATACACATAGAACAGTTTTCAAGATTAAGAGACCTTTTTTTGAAATAGGTGAAGAAGCACAAGCAGATAATGCTAGAATCTGTCATCAGAGGCCTCTATCACTTGGCCCGCACTGAGGTCGTCTGTGAAAGCTTGAAGGCTCTAAAAAAGATTCTGGAGCTGCTCACAGACAGAGATGTGAGCTTCTACTTCAAAGAAATAGTGCTGCAAACAAGAACCTTCTTTGAAGATGTAAGTGAACCTGTTCAGGAATCTTCCCTCCCCAGAAGAAGTGAGTGAACAGAAAGAGGTTCAGGCAGTGCTTGCAGCAGACCAGCCATACTCACTAATATTCCCTTTCATAGTCTTCCTCTCTTGTCCATCTTGTTTCCTGGGCTCACCTCCCACATAAATCCCTTACACTTAAATCCTTACCCCATGTTTTCTGTTGGGGAAAACAGATGATGACAGTACTCATTGCAGGGCTAGACGTTGATGCCTCCAACACTATCTTTTTCATGTGCAAGATTTCAAAGATTCAAAATGCTTGCGTAGTTCATTTCATCCAGGAGTCATTAAACTTCCCCATGGCTCATGGGCCAAATTTGACCCAGAACATCTTTTTGCAAGTGTAGTGTTATTGGAACGCAGCCATGCTCATTGGTTACATATTATCCATGGCAGCCTTCACACTTCATATGCAGAACTGATTAGTTGTTACAGAAACCATGTGGCTCGCAAAGTCTCAATTATTCAGCGTTTGGTCTTTTATGGAAAAATTTCGTCAACCCCTGATGCGGTTTACAGACCTCATTTCAGAAAAGATCAGTCAATGATCCTAGGCAAAGGAAGGTCATTTTTCTTTATACCTCCTGGGAAACTAGATTTTAATATTTCTTCTTGGTTTTTTCACTGTCATTAATGTAGAAATCTATTTCACTTCTAACATAAACCTATTTTTTATCATCTATACCTGTCTGCTCCTGTTGTGTGATGGGAGGAGATGGAAACTGTTGGCTACCTCTAGTGTATCCTTCTTAAACGTTCAGGCTTTATTAAATTACCTATTCACCTGATAGTCTCCAGAATGAAAAGTCTTTATTTCCTTCATGATTCACCATAAACCTAATTTTTCATCTCGTTAATATTTTACAAGCCAGTGACTGTGTTGTATCTCTAAATGAGACCTGAGAAGTATTGAATAGAATCTGAAGAAAAATCACCTCTCAAGTCCATTTTTTTCCTATTTATTCACTCCAGTTTTTTTTTTTAATCTTACCCTTTCTTCCTGACTCTTTAGCAATTTATTAACCACCTCGACCTCCAGATTCCAGTTTGTAATACATGCCCTCAGTCCATATTCCACCAGTTTTGTGTGTTTCAGTTCCTCTTCTGTTCCTCTAAACCTGACCTTTGAAAGCAGCTTACTGCTGGCGTTAGTGTTACTTTCTCCAATATATTAGTGTTACTTTTCATTCTCATTTTGTACTCAAAAGTAGTTTATGGGCTTTCACTCAGTTCAGTATCTTCTGTAAAATAACAAAGATGTTCTCTTCTTCACTACACAGATAATTGAAACTATCTTTAACAACAAAGAGCTGAAGTCAGCTCCAGAGAGCCCCCCACCTGTTAGGTTTTCTGGACTGTTGTTGATTCAATGCTAGTAACACTCTTGGATCTGAGCCTTCAATAATCACAAGTCTTTCTACAAGTTTTATGGTCAAAAGAATGTTTCTCACTCTTACTGCAAAAGAAAAAACTAGTCTTTCTGGTTGTTAAAACTTTTTCATTTCTAGTAGGTTATCAACCTCATCAAATTTGCATAAAATTTGACAAAAATTGAGTCTTAATAATGACATGTTCTTTACAGTCCTGTAATGCTCTTTTGGGGTGGTACTAGAGGTAAAGAATATGCCTGCCAATGTAGTAGATTTAAGAGATGCAGGTTTGATCCCTGGGCTGGGAAAATCCCCTGGAAGAGGGCATGGCAACCCACCCCAGTATTGTTGACTGGAGAATCCCATAGACAGAAAAGCCTGGTGGGCTACTGTCCATAAGATGGTAAAGAGTTGGACACAACTAAAGCAACTATGTGCACACAATGCTTTCTTTCTGCAAATAAATTATGATACTTTGCCCCTATATTTTTCAATAGATAAAACATGCAATTCTGTAATCTCCAAATTCTTTTTTTCACTATAGAAGTACTTTCTTGAAAATCCAAAAATATGGTGACACTTTGAAAAAATGGTAGAACAGAAAATACAGCTGCTGTCCCATACTCCAGGCCCTGCTCACTGCTATTTCCCATGCCAGCACCCAAGCACTCATGTCACTCTGTATTACAAGGACATTAAACTTTAATACTTCTTCGAGCACCCAAGACACTTCTGCCCTTCTCTTTTCTGCTTTCTCATTGTCCCAATTGGTTAATTCCTCCTTGACCTATCTTTAGGTCTTTGATTTTAGAAAATTCAAATGGGTTCTTTTTTTTTTTTAAAGTAAATAACTCTAGCTTTTGGATACTTTGTCATTGGGTTGCTTCTCTTTCTAAAAGGAGATCTTTTAAAAATATACCTTAACCTTATTTCTAGTACATTTAAAGAACATGTCTACTTCCATCTCCATTCTACAAGGTCATATCTCATGTATTTAACTTTTCTAGCCTTTTCCCAACAAGCCATCTTTATTTTTTTATGGTAGATCTTTATTAGCGTCCTTTTTCATAACATTGCTGTTTATATGCCCACTTCTCACACACGTTTTATTTTGCTATCAAAGTTAACTCTTCTGTCTTCTCCCCCTCATGTCCATGGGAATGCTTTTTTATTGGTCCTTGTTTGTTGCTAATCTAAATAATATTCTGTTATCCAGAATGACCTTTCCCCTTATCCCTCTGCCTTCCTATAGGTATTTTAAACTAGTTTTCTAGATACTCAACTCCCTCAAGAAAAAGAAAGATAAAAGAAAACCTCCAGAAAATTCATCAAAGTTTGTTAGAACTCTAAACCATATCAACAAAGTGTGTGAGATAACAGAAGGCCATCTTTCTCCACCACCCATTGAGGTCACATAAATCTTTTGCCTTTTAAAAAGCATTGTCAACCCTCCTAGACAGTAAGCAAGGGAGCTCCATAACTTCATATATACAAGAGTGGGGCTAAGCACTTTTTTGTTTATCCTCTCTCTCTCTCTCTCTCTCTCTCTCTCTCTCTCTGAGACCCAAAACCCAAATTTCTGAGCTTCCTGTAATCCCTTTGGAAAGTGTATGGGATCTTGGAGAAGTATCCTAGACCTTGAGCAGTTTAGATCAGAGGCCCCATAACTCCAGGCTAATGATGCATTCAGACTAATATGTATAAAATACAGAATAAACAAGAACCCTCCCTGGCCTTCTGCCACCAGCACCCCATTTATTATTCCTGTGGTCACATTTCCTCATTAGTTCCTCAAAGTCAAAAACCAAGTCTCCATCTCTAAACTCATGTCATGTGGGTGGAGAGATACTGGGAAAGGAAGGGCATTCTTGGAACACACAGGAGCTGTGACAAGAGAGCGCAGACACTGGGGCTCCTTTCCTGCATGGGAAGGGGCAGAGTGGGCTGGGGGTGATTCCAGCTGGGAATGGCCATGTGGGGGACTCACCCATGACATGCATCTGTCACCACAGGAGCAGGATGATGTGAGGCTGACTGCCATCCTCTTATTTGAGAATCTGGCATCCCTAACAGGAAGAAGGTGGAAGATTTTTTTTGCTGAAGAAATAAAAAAGAGCATGATTTCATTCCTTCTCCACCTCTGGGACCCCAATCCCAAGATTGGAACTGTAAGTGGCCCCTGCACAGACAGCTGCGCCTCCTCCTCTGCCCATGGCCAAGAGGTGCCAGGAAGCCTGGTCTGGCTGGACCAGAAGCCATATCTGAAGACACCATTCTCAAATGAACCTGAAAACCAGTTATCCCATCCTGGGTTCTTTTTTGGCCATCACTTTCTGAGTTTGCACTTCCATCTTTGAAACTGGGAAGGTGGTAGCACTGACTGTCTAGCCCTCGAATCACTCTTTACTGCTCTTTTCCCAACACACCAATCAGCCTGCCTTTCCTTCTGGAAGGGGAACTAGCATTATGCACTATGACACAGAAAACTCTGTTTTCCAGGCTTGCCGTGATGTCCTGATCATCTGCATTCCTTTTCTGGGCCTCCAGGAACTCTATGGGGTATTAGACCATCTCTTGGATGGTCAGGATCTTCCAAGGGCCAGGGATTTTTACAGGCAGTTCTGCATGAAGCTGGTGAGTGTGCGATAGGTGCTGCTTCCAAAAATTCAGGCCAAGAGTCCAGGCAAATCCCAGAAGGCAAAGCACATAGCAAAGAATCCCAGCTAGAGCCAGAACCATCTGGGAAGAACAGTGATACCGGAAATCCTGCCACATCACTCTCTACTCTATCCCCAAGTTCCAGCTGGAATCTGCTTTTGATTCCTGAAACATCTGTTGATTAGTCCTATAAGCTCCAGTGCCACCCTGATTAAATTTAGAATGAAATAGCCATAAGACACCTTCCAACAGAACAATTAACGGCTGTATGCATGCTCACTGGTCTTTTGATGTCTGTTCTTAGGGCCTATAGGATGCTGAATTTCTTAGAGTTACTTCTCAGTTGCCCTCTTTTTTTTTCTCAAATTTATTGAAGTATAATTGATTTACAGGGTTGTGTTAATTTCTGCTCAACAGCCAAGTAACTCAGTTATACATATATATTCTTTTCATGTTCTTTTTCATTCTGGCTTATCACAGGATATTGAATATAGTTCCCTGTGCTATACTATAGGACCTTGCTGTTTATCCATTCTATATATACTAATTTGCATCTGCTAATCCCAAACTCCCAGTCCTTCCCTGCCCACCCGCCCCTCGCACTTTCAGTTGCCCTCTTTGTAACACATATCTCTTCCAGTCAAAGAGAAACCAAGAAATCCTATGGATCCTCCACACACACTCATTCACCTTCTTCAGCAGCAGCTGGGAGACCATCAGGAGTGCAGCCATCAAACTCACAGGTGAGGCCACATCCACTCTCTCCACTCACAGTCCGCTCCTTGCCATCCTGTTTTGCTTTGCCTGGAAGCTACCCCAGCATGAATGCTGGTATGATTGTGTGCTCTTGCTTCAGTCGTATCTGACTCTTTGCAACCCCATGGACTGTAGCCTGCCAGGCTCCTCTGTCCATAGGCTTCTCCAGGCAAGATTACTGGAGTGGGTTGCCACGCCCTCCTCCAGGGGATCTTCCCAACCCAGGGATCAAACTCATGTCTCTTATGTCTCCTCCATTGGCAGGTGGGTTCTTTACCACAAGTGCCACCTGGGAAGACCAGTATGATTGGTATGACCAAAAAAAGCCAGAAAATTCATTTTATGTGTTACAACATCTTCCCTCAAAAGAACCTGTTCTCTTTGCAGACTTACAGTAACAGCTTCTGAGTTCCCAACACTCATTTTCTTTCTATCAGACCATTCTCCCTGTTCGGGTCCTTCATGCTTCTTCTGGTCCCAAGTCACTGTTCCCTCTTTTCCCCAGGTCTCTGATCCAAGCCTGCAGCCCCTGCCAAATTGTTTTCCTTTGTACCACCCATTAACATAAACCATAGTCAACCTTCTAAGCTCAGTTCAAGCTGAGAGCTTCAGCAGCAGCGTGATAACCAGTGAAAAGGGTATGGGTGTGTGGGGGCCAGCAGACCTTGGCTCTGTTAGGTGATTCTGGACAATTCACTGAACTTCACTGTGTTGCCTCTTTGTTTGATCTATAAAATAAAAGAAGAAAGTAAATGGATCTCTGAGGATCAAGTCTTATCATGAAACCCATTCCATCTAATCAGGCCCACAATGAATAGGCCCACTGGGTTGGCCACCTTTAAGAAAGAAAGTGAAGTCGCTCAGTCGTGTCTGACTCTTTGTGACTCCATGGACTGTAGCCTGCTGGACGCCTCCGTCCATGAGATTTTCCAGGCAAGAATACTGGAGTGGGTTGCCATCTCCTTCTCCAGAGGATCTTCCCGACCCAGGGATTGAACCTGTGTTTCTCACACTGCAGGCAGACTCTTTACTGTCTGAACCACCAGGGAAGCCGGATCCTAAGGATCCCTTATTGGATCCTATAGAGGATCCCCTTTTTGTTGTTGTTCAGCCACTAAAATGTGTCCAATTCTTTGTGAGCCCATGAACTGCAGCATGCCAGGCTTCCCTGTCCTTCACTATCTCCCAGAGTTTGCTCAAACTCATGTGCACTGAGTTGGTGATACCATCCAACCATCTCATCCTCTGTCACCCACTTCTCCTCCTGCCCTCAGTCTTTCCCAGCGTCAGGGTCTTTTCCAATGAGTCAGCTCTTCACATCAGGTGGCCCAAGTATTGGAGCTTCAGCTTCAGCAGCAGCCCTTCCAATGAATATTCCGGGTTGTTTTCCTTTAGGATTGACTGGTTTTGTCTCCTTGCCATCCAAGAGACTCTCAAGAGTCTTCTCCAGCTCCACATTTCAATAGCATCAATTCTTCGGTGCTCAGCATTCCTTATGGTCCAGCTCTCACATTCATACATGACTACGGGAAAAACCATAGCCCCCTAACTACATTCTAAATTTTTGGAAGACAGGGGCCATATATGTTTGAAACCCTGACAACTCACGCCGCGCCCTGCCCCCCATCCCCCCGGAGGACATAGTGTGTTTTCCCAGCAACATGGTGAGTGAGCAACCACTTCCAGTCACAGGACTCAAGACTCCATACACATCACTCTCACATCATCCTGGAGGTGCATGGGGAGCCTAGCTTGTTCATTCACTATTCAGACCACTTAACTTCTGACCAGGTGCAGAGTCTGTCCTGACTTTTCGTGGCCAATTCCTCTATAGCAAAATCAGTAACTTTTCTTCTTCTTGATTTTAGATGCCATTGTTCTCAATTTGACCTACCAATATGTGGAGCTAATAGACAGAGAACAACTGACCACACGTGAGTACCAACCCTAGTTTCTGTCCAGATCTCTGTTATATTATTTTTTTTTCTTTTTTCTTTTTTTTTCCCATTTATTTTTTATTAGTTGGAGGCTAATTACTTTACAATATTGTAGTGGGTTTTGTCATACATTGACATGAATCAGCCATTGAGTTACATGTATTCCCCATCCTGATCCCCCCTCCCACCTCCATCTCCACCTGATCCCTCTGGGTCTTCCCAGTGCACCAGACCCGAGCACTTGTCTCATGCATCCAACCTGGGCTGGTGATCTGTTTCACCCTAGATAATATACATGTTTCGATGCTGTTCTCTTGAAACATCCCACCCTCGCCTTCTCCCACAGAGTCCAAAAGTCTGTTCTATACATCTGAGTCTCTTTTTCTGTTTTGCATATAGGGTTATCGTTACCATCTTTCTAAATTCCATATATATGTGTTAGTATACTGTAATGGTCTTTATCTTTCTGGCTTACTTCGCTCTGTATAATGGGCTCCAGTTTCATCCATCTCATTAGAACTGATTCAAATGAATTCTTTTTAATGGCTGAGTAATATTCCATGGTGTATATGTACCACAGCTTCCTCATCCATTCGTCTGCTGATGGGCATCTAGGTTGCTTCCATGTCCTGGCTATTATAAACAGTGCTGCGATGAACATTGGGGTGCACGTGTCTCTTTCAGATCTGGTTTCCTCGGTGTGTATGCCCAGAAGTGGGATTGCTGGGTCATATGGCAGTTCTATTTCCAGTTTTTTAAGAACTCTCCATACTGTTCTCCATAGCACAGAGCCCTGTTATATTCTTAAAGAAAGAGAAACTAACACCACTCCAAGTTCCACATCAGCTGTAAAATCACAGTGTACCCCATCATCAGTGGTCTCTGATGCTCCCCAGATACTGGACTTTCTCCAGAGTGTAAGGTGACCCTCAGCTCCATCCCATTGCAGGCACCATTCCCAACAGACTTCAATTTTTCGATTGTTTATAAACCTACTGGTCCCAAGGTCAGCATCTTCTCTTCCCTTATTTCGGTGTCAAAATAGTTTCTAAATTGTGGAACCAAATCCTACCCATTAGGGTGAAATATGAGCCCAGGGGCCTGAGCTCCACGTAGCTCTGATCCTTAGTGGAGGCTTCCCTGTACTGCGAACTTAGGGCCTTGGCTTTCTTCCCTCAGTTGGCATTGCTCTTCTTTCCATTTCAGGGCTCCAAGCACTTCGACAGGACCCCTGTATCAGTGTCCAGAGAGCAGCCGAAGCTGCCACGCAGACCCTCCTAAGAAAGTGTAAAGAGATAAGTGTCCATCTGTAAACCATCAGGAAATAAACTGCTAGGCTTTTTCTATAACTGACTCCTGTCTTCATCCTCACAACTCACAAACTTGTAATATCTTGAGGAAAGAGGTGGCACCCAGGATGGGGATCTTGAGGTAGTGGTATATATCCCTTACCCTCCAGACTCTCCCTGGTGGCTTCTGTTAGCAAAAACCACACTCACCAGTTCACATGAGGAATAACCTGTGATGTGAGTGGTGACAGCCACATGGCCTTTGCACAGGACAGCCTTCTATGGAAGCTTACATCCCAGCAGATGCCAAAAAAATGACAGAACGTCAAACAGTTCTGCTGCCACTGAGGACTGCTGCTACTTTCCACACGTAGCCCCTTTTCATATCTTTGCCTGTTTTGACTTGCTACTCATGCTCTTTTCTTTCTAAAAAAGTCTTTGACAAACTTTAACCTGTCTGTTCTTACTTTGTAATTTATGTGTCGAGATTGCACCCCAGGGACTTTTCTACAAAAGGCCCTTCCTGACATTGTATTAAATCTCACTGTCTCCTTTCATTTTTATCCTAGAGCATTCCCCCCTTTGAATTGTGTGTGTGTGCAAGTGCATATGTGTTAACCTGCTTCATGGTATCTGAATCATAACTCTTCACTCTTTTTCACAGTGCACACCTGAAAAGCTATGTACAGGAAGTCATGTTCAGGCAAAGAAGCTTCTAACACAGAGTCCGGACTCAGTTAACACCACCACTATCACAGTCATTCATTAGCAGCCTTATTTTTTGCTATTATTTTTGTCTTGTGGACATAAAATTTCAAACACTGAGCTCAAGTATGATCTGGCCCTTTGTTCAGATTTCTAAAATAAAGATAAACTGATAGTCAGCTTTAAGGGTGCAATGTATTTAACACTGTACATTAAACAATTAGAGAAAATCTAGGGGGTATCATAACTACATCTTTTATATTTAGTAGCGCAAGTATAGGGACAAGCCATGCAATTGGAGGAAAAACCTGTTCGGGACTGACAGAGAGGTCCTTGGTTGCTGGCAGGATCTCCTCCTGACTCCAGACTTGAGAAAAACCAGGAGTCTGTCAGTGTACGAAAACCACTGAACTCAGGACAAACAGTTACAAGATATTAAGGAACTGGCTCTTGGCAATTCGGATTTTGGGGCCCAGTTTGAGGTAAGCAGGGTTGGCTGGAGACTGGAAATGGTGCAGTTCAAGTCTAGAATCGATGGATTAGCACAGAAGTCTAGAAACAGAATGTTAGTGCCTTCTTCAAAAATCCCCAGTTTTCCAACAAGTTCTAGGATTCTTTTCGCAAACAATGGCAACACTTACTAAATTGACGTGTCTCCTTATAAATTCCTCTACTCTATATTCTAATCCCTTCATCCTCAAGTTCTTGAGAAAATATCTTTCATTCCCACCAAACATTTTAGGAACCAAAGGAGTCTTTTAGGTCAGAGATTTTAGACCAGAGTCTCATTTATTCATCTGTTCAACAAATATTTATTGAGTGCATATAAAGGTGTAAGGCACTGTTACAGCCACTGGGGCTACAATGATGAGGAAAAAAAGTAGAAAAATTCTACCCTCATTAAATTTATACTCTATGACATCTGTGTATAATTTCCAGAGGATTGAGCCAGCCTCCAGGATGGCTCCAAATGATTCTTGCCTCCTGGTGTTCCTAACCCTCTTCCCACAGTGAATAGAAATGCCTGTTCAATCAATACAAAAGTTCAGAAATGACAGTGTGTGACTTTCAAGGCAAGGTCATAAGTGGTACTGCCCTCTCTTGAATCACCCACTCTGGAGGAAGCCAGCTGCCAACATAAGGATGCTCAAGCAGCCCAAAAAGAGATCCATGTGGCCAAGAACTGATTCCTTCTACAAACAACCATAGTTAACTTGCTAGGTTCATTAAGGAGCCATCCTGGAAATGAATCCATGAGCCCTGGGCAAAGCCTTCAGATGACTGAAGCCTCAGTTGACACATTGACTGGATTATGAGATAAAATATAGAATGCCCAATGAAATTTGAATTTCGGGCAAGCAATGAGTACTTTTTTCAGTAAAAGCATGTCTTGATTATTGCATGGGACACACTTCTACTAAAGAATCATTTATTGTTTTTCTAAAATTCCAAAATTAACTGAACATCTTGTATTTTTATTTGCTAAATCTGGCCACCCCAGTACAATCTAACCATAATCCTGGGTCAGAATCACTAAGCTAAACCACTCCTTGATTCCTGAACCACAAAACTGTATGAGATAATAAATCTATGTTGTTTTAAGCCACTAAGCTTTAAGGTAATTTGCTATGCACTAATGGGTAACTATTAAACAGAAAGTCTGTTATCCCACCTGAAGTCATAAAGTTTCTGTGTATAATTGCATAGGTGTATTTTGGGGTAATGGATTTAATTAAATTCTTAATGGAGTCAGGAGCTATTCCAAAGCATTAACACACATGAAACAAAGCAAGAAGGCAAGAAATACAGTTTAGTTGACTTCCTTGGCAGGTTATTTTAAGTCAAATGACATTTCCAATAGAACTTTCTCCAATGATGGAAATGCTCTATATCTGCACTGGCCAATATGGTAGCCACTAGCCTTAGAATATGGCTAGTCTATCAGAGAAATTAAGTTTTTAATTTTAAGTAGCCATATGTACCTAATAGCTACAGTATCCCACAAGACAATTTCAGAATATGGGGCAAAGAGTTGTAACAGAACTTGGGCTGAGCCACCCATAACTACAGGATATTCTCAACAAGTATAAATTCATTCACACAAGATCTTGTCTGATACTTCTTCACATATCCATCCCCACTATTACTCTTCATCCATCCTGAAAACCAGCAAAGATCCTCCCTTATCATTGATTGGTGGAAGTTAGGTAGAATGGCCACATGAAACACATACCACAACTGAACTTTTGTCTAAACCCTAATCTTAGAGGGATTCACCCTGACACACATTTCCAAGACTTTTTATCACATTCCAGCTTCACCCTTTACTAGTTGTGTGACGGGGGAAAAATCATTTTACCTGCCTGTACTTCAATTTCCACATCTTTAAACTGGGATCATGGAACACAGTTCCTTGTAAACTGGGAACAAGTAACACCGCCTTGTCTAACTCAATGAAACTATGAGCCATGTGGTGTAGGGTCACTCAAGATGGATGGGTCATGGTGGAGAGTTCTGACAAAATATGGTCCACTAGAGAAGGGAATGGCAAACCACTTCAGTATTCTTGCCTTGAGAACCCCATGAACAGTATGAAAAGGCAAAAAGATAGGACTCTGGAAGATGAACTCCCCAGGTCAGTAAGTTCCCAATATGCTACTGGAGATCAGTGGAGAAATAACTCCAGGAAGAATGAAGAGATGGAGCCAAGCAAAAACAACATCCAGTTGTGGATGTGACTGGTGATGGAAGTAAAGTCCGGTGCTGTAAAGAACAATATTGCGTAGGAACCTGGAATGTTAGGTCCATAAATCAAGGCAAATTGGAAGTGGTCAAACAGGAGATGGCAAGAGTGAACATTGACTCTTGGAATCAGTGAACTAAAATGGACTGGATTGGGTGAATTTAACTCAGATGACCATTATATCTACTATTGTGGGCAAAAATCCCTTAGAAGAACTGGAGTAGCCATCATACTCAACAAAAGAGTCTGAAATGCAGTACTTGGATGCAGTCTCAACAATGACAGAATGATCTCTGTTGGCTTCCAAGGCAAACCATTGAATATCACAGTAATCCAAGTCTATGCCCGGACCAGTAATGCTGAATAAGCTGAAGCTGAATGGTTCTATGAAGACCCTCTAGAACTAACACCCAGAAAGGATGTCCTTTTCATTATAGGGGAGTGTAATGTAAAAGTAGGAAGTCAAGAGATACCTGGAGTAACAGGCAAATTTGGCCTTGAAGTACAGAATGAAGCAGGGCAAAGGCTAACAGAGATTTGTCAAGAGAACGCACTGGTCATAGCAAACACCCACTTCCAACAACACAAGAGAAGACTCTACACATGGACATCACAAGATGGTCAATAATGAAATCAGATTGCTTATATTCTTTGCAGCCAAAGATGGAGAAGCTCTATATAGTCAGCAAAACAAGACCTGGAGCTGACTGTGGCTCA